CCGGACTAGCTTTCCATACAAACCAAGCCCAAGGGTAAGTCCTGCCCCCCCCACTTTTGCTATTGCACTCAGCAGAGGGGGTACCAGGCTCCGCCCCCGACTCCACCATTCTCATACCCCAAACACTCAATACACATTCACACTCAATTTATATACATAAAAATAAAAATATTCACATTCATACGCCCTAAATACAATAATAACATTTATACATAACAGGGCCACCATTCATCTACATGCATACACACACACACAACAAACATTCTCTAAAAAAAATAATATTGCCCCTCTGTGTCCCAGGCTGGTCCAATGTAGCCGGCTAGGTGATCATTAGGTACTTGTCTTGGGGCAGACCGTACTTGGCCTTATGCTCCTCAAAGAGCTGGGTCAACTTCTCCAAGTACCTCTCGTGAACGATATAGAGCTGGCCATGCCCACCCAGTAGGCCACACCCACTCTATCCAGCCCACCCAGTAGGCTGCACCCACCCTGGCCATACCCACCTGCCCCCCCCTGAGAGTAACTACAATGCTGATGCGACCCTCAATGAAATTGAGTTTGACACCCTGGTTTTAAAGAAACAAATATGAAGTGGAGACAGAATAGAGTTATCTAATTCTTTTTTTAAAATATATTTTATTGGTTTTTTAATTCTTAAGAATAAGTTCTCAGGACACACCGTGGTGTTTGGGTAATCAGACATTCAAAAGTAAAAACATAAATAAACAACTCAACTTAATACATTCACTGTCCCCTCTGTATTTCCCTCAGATAACATAATACGTTTAAAATATTCCATTTCTAAATTAAATTTCTATTACTACTAAACCTGTTTTAAAACTTTATCAGTTTACAATTACCATAATCAAATTTAATTTTAAATCAACAAGTTATCAGTTCAGGTATCCCTTCAGATGTATTCTAGTTCTTAATCTCTCTCATCCCTCTTTTTATCACCAATCTCATTTATTTCTTCTTCCACTACACAATAGCTATCTTAGTTAAAAAATAATGTTAAACCTTAATTCATTTCAATTCATTACACAAACTTAAAATTTCATCCAACTGATTATCATGCCTTATCATATCTATGTTATTGTACAAAAAGATCATCTTACTAATTTAAAACACTCCATTAATTATTGAAACCATCCCAATCTAAAAAATCAACATTTTTTCAATTCCAATACATAATTTTCATCAAAATAAATCTATTATTCCAAATAGTACATTCTTAATCTATTTAAAATATCTGTTCTAAAAATCACCCTCGTATATATATATTCATATTTTTTCTTGCTTCTAACTCTAAATCATAATCCTTAAAACAATCCATAAATCCAACATTGCCTTTTAATCCATTACACAATTTTAAATTTCTCTTTTCAGTCTAATTCTGGCTTTTTTTCTGTGCCAGGCAGGTTTCCATAAAGACGCTTCCCTTTCAGCCAGTAGATCTATTTTTGTTGCTTGCAGTAGCCTTTGAAAGGATAGAAATCCCTTCCTCTGCATTAGACATCTATTTTTCTCCTCCTTGAAGCATCATTGCTTTGTAGTTTGAAATCTCAGTCTTTGCTTCTTCTGTTCCTCTAAGTCGCAGATGGAAGGTTTGTAAGATAGAATAAGTTCCTCTTTTATCTCTGTTGATTCCTCTTCTAGTATGTTTTGATTAATACCATAGTCAGATGTAGCCTGGACGTCCATTTGAACGTTTGAAGTGAAATTTCTGGATCTTAGTTCTGTAGTAAACTCTTTCATTGTAGCACATATTTCTGGAGTAGCCTCATAAATATTTTCCAATATAAGTGTACAGTTTAATTGTAACTGACGTTTCTCCATTTTGATAGTGATTAAAAAGAGTCTCTTTTTTCTTTTTTGTGGAGGCTATATTTGATATAAATTAGGCAATATCCACCCCTACAGTTCCCACAGCTGCACAGCTTATCTTTTCTCTTCAAAAGTATTTTGAAGGTCAGGTCTGTTCCATCTTCAAAAGTAACCAGAAGTTGCAGTATTAAATTTTCGCCACTAGATGTCCTCAGTAAATGAAAAAAGGTCTTTTCCAGACACCATTTCCTTTTTTCTATCTTTTAAAGTATAATGTGAAAAAAGAAATAATCTTCCAGCATAGGATGATAGTACAGTTCTTAGAAAGAGGAAAAGAAAAAAATTTTTTCTGTACCCCAAAAAATATAAAAATAAAATATAGTCTTTAAAATTTTGTTCTATTTTTATAGAACGCCTTTCTTCCCAAAGAATGTAGAAGCTGCCTTTTCAAGCCAGGGAAATAATTCCAACAAGGCTCTTACAGGTATCAAAAACAAAATAAAATAGAGAGAATAGCAAAGAAAAATCTCACTCAGATTCACCACAGGGGTTCTTACAGCTTAGATGTTCTTTGACTTGCGGTTTGAAGCAGCAGGGTGATGCCATTTTACTGGCTGATCTTCTTCTCCGTCGGCCCTCAGAGATAGCTCAGACAGCTGAAGGAGCCGCCGCTCCTCAGCAGCCGAGCAGAGCCTCCTCGACAGAAGTCGCGCCCTCCAGGGCGACTTTTGACCCGCATAAGGGTCTACCGGCAGAGGGAAGGCTAGCCGACGAGGAGACGAGTCTCCCCATATGACTAGGGACGCCACGAACTAGAATCAGAAGTCGGAGTTATCTAATTCTTGAAGGGCTATCATAGAGAAGGGGGTATGGATTTATTCTCCATAATACCCAAGGGTAGAGTAAGAACCTTTGCATGGAAGCTTTATTTATTCAAACTGAAAATAAGGAGTTATTTCCTGGCCAAAAGGACTATTAAGCAGTGGAACAGCCTGCCTCTTGGACAGTCATGGGTGTCCCGAAGGTTTTCAGACAAATTTTGGACAGCTATTAGTTTGGGATGGCTTGAGGATTCCTGCTCTGAACAAGGACTAAAATATTTCCAAGATCTCTTCCAAGTCTATGATTCAATGAGTTGCTCCTTTGTAACTTCTCAGATGGAAATGCTTGAGCCTGAAATTGAACTCATACATGCATGTTATCACTAAAGTACACACTGCACCAAAGTGACAAGATAATAGTCACCCCAGACAAGTCACAGCCAAATCAGTATTTTTTTAGTATAGTCCTTTAAACAATGTTATATTTGAGAGTCATGCATGTGTGGATCTGATCAAATTATAGATATAACATTATTTTGGAAGCAAGTGATTGCAGGATTCTAGAAACTGTTTGTATGTATTAGAAAAATACAAAGATTACCATTGGACTTTAAAAACTTTTGTTTTGCTTTTATTGCAGTAAACTGAACTTTACTTGATAGGACAAAATAATTCAAATTTTGCTCAAGTTTGTGCAAACCAGTTTTCAGATTACAAACTGATCCAGTTTTTTAAAAAATGTAGTAAAATATAATGCCTTAAACTCTCAGACTTAGATACTGATTCCTGTTTTATTAATTTCATGGCAATTTCTAAGCAGTAATTTGCAGTTGCATTATAATAATGTCATATTTTTCATTCACATGCCTTTACAGAGCAAAAAAGACATTTTTATTCTTTCCAATGCAAGAGAATGTTGGAAGTGTCTATGGAGATTCTCAGTCATCCGGGTCATGGTTGTCCCAAAGGTGCTTTTTCAGGAGGCAACTGGATTGCCTTTTTTGTCTTTGAAGATCTTTTGCTTCTCATCCAAGAAGCTTCTTCAGCTCTGACTGGATTGTGGGGAATGGAAGGATTTATATTCCTTGCAGACAGTTGGTCATTTGCATTCTTTTAGAGAGTTGTTGAGGCCATTTGGAGGTTTATCTGTGTCCTCAGGGTCACCTGAGTAGGACACAGGTAAACCTCCAAGTGGCCTCAACGACTCTCTAAAAGAATGCAAATAACCAGCTGTCTGCAAGGAATATAAATCCTTCCATTCCCCACCATCTAATCAGAGCTGAAGAAGCTTCTTGGATGAGAAGTGAAATGTCTTCAAAGAAAAAGCAGAAAGTCCAATTGCCTCCTGAAAAAGCACCTTTGGGACGAGAATGTTGTAAAGAAATTATATAAACAAACTTGGGACTATTTCTGTCTGTATCAACAAGATTATTCTCCCAAACCTAAACAAAACTGGACTAAAATTTGTATAAGAAACCAACAAAAGAAAGATTGAGTTCAAATATAGGCCAGATGTGGCCAGGTGTTGTGGCAAAACATTTTCCAGAAAGGAAATCTCTATGGGAGAAACAGCCAGGCAGTGGCTGGTAAACTTGTTGACTGCTCCATTCTAAGCCCTTCTCTGACTCTCCTGGTTCTGTGACTCACAGCTCAGGGTATCCTGCCCATCCTGTGTTTCCCAATGCACAACTACACAAAATCGCAAGGGGAGAACAGAAACAGGTCCACAGGCAATATGCATGACAGTCCTCTCATTAGACCCTCACAAACACACTGTGACACATTTGCAGGCACCCTAATTAGCCCCCTCTCAGGCAGCTTGCCAATGTTGGAAAAAAAGATTGAAAAGAAGAAAAGATCTAATTATATTGCATGCCCACGTTCAATGGTTGCTCTGGATACAGAGTCTTTAGGAAATGCAATTATCTCCAATACACAGCTTTCAAGGAAATCTTGAACCAATGCAACATACCACTTTCAGAGGATCTGTCATCTTGTTTTTCTTGCACAGCTCTTATACTGTACTTTCAATGCAAGAGGTTCCTTTTCTTTTTTCTTTTCTTTCTTTTCTTTTTGTTTTTTAAAAAACTAGGTAACTAGTTTTTCCCCTGCTGAATCTGTGCCTGACTTACTCAGTTGTTATAAAAATTCAGCCGGAAACAAGATAACAACCTGATGCGGTTTGCATGGAATAGGAACAAAGGTGTTAACACATCCCAAATTGTAAAGCTCCTAATGATACCTTAATTGGCCACTTTATGCATCCTCCACTGGGTATTACCCCCCCGCCCTTCTGTTTCTCCTCGAAACTTCTGCGAGCGGGACTTGGGAAAGTTAAGTTCCGGTACTCACAAATGCAACGGAGACGCTTTTTGTAGACGCCCCAGATGAACTCCCCGCACAGATCGCACCAGGTGGGCTGACTCTGAGTGCAGGATCTGAAGAGGTGACCCTCGCCGAGTTCCTCGGTCAGTTTGGGATCGATCTCGTCACCCAGAAGGCGGATCTGGCGAACGCGGGTCAAGAGCTCGGGCACTTTTCCGGGAGAGATCCTCAAGGCATTGGCGCGCTCTAAGCGGACGGGGCGTTCGGCCGTGCCCCGCGGGCCGCGCGTCAGGTCCAGCTGCTCCTCCAGCCCCAGGGTCTGCAGTTCGATCATCTCTTGGGGCGTGGGACGCTTCATGACCCCCGCCTGCGCTGAGGGCGGAAGGGGAGAAAGAGATTGAGAACCCGCATCGAGTCCTCATCCCATCCTCACCCTCGGTGCTCGTCGGAATCCTTGCCTTTCGTACGGTTTCTTTGATCCAGCTCTCCGCAAGCCTTCTTTCCCCCCCCCCCCCCGTTTCGAAGCAGTCCGAAACAGTCACAAGGGATCTTTGCCAGGGCTCAGTCAGCGGAGCCTTTTTCTTCTCTTCTCCCACCCCATTCTTCCTTTCAACAAACGGGGTGGCTTTCTGGGCTCGACGGCAACGGCCTGCGCTGAAAGTCTGGGGAGGAAGGCGGCGACGGTTATGTGAACTCGGGCTGCCTCTTTAAAAGGGCTGCTCAGAATTTTTTTTTTTTTTTTTTTTTTTTTTTTTTGGTTTTTTGGCGCACAAGCAATCGGAGGAAAAGCCTCAGCTCGCCTCCTCTTTCATTCGGGCCCCTCTTCCCAGCAATGGGATGGAGGGAGGGAGAGAGGCGCGGGCGGTGGCCTCGCTTCGGAAGCTTTGGGGCCGACGCTCCCCCTCCTCATTTCCCGCCTTAAGGCACCTCCGGAACAAGAAGCGACTGCGCCGCGTAGGAGCCGGCCCCACGCAGGTTCGAGGAGAGCGGTAGTCTCACAGCTAGACAACTCCCCCTTGACGAGGCTGGAGGGTGGGGTAGATGCGCGAAGGGGAGAGAGAATAATGTAGAACAGCGCCGCGTTTTTGGTGTTTTTTTTTTTGTTTTTAGCGGAGGAACGGCTGGCTTTGAAGTAAAAGAAAGAAGGTTTAGTAGGGAAAGTTTAATAGAGAAAGTTGAAAGTTGCAATCGCCCCATCCTACCCTGCCTGTTCTTTCTCTGCTGGTCACTAAGCTGGACTCGCCCTCTGCATTCTGCCGCTGGGTGGAAGTGGGGAACCACCGCGTGGCTTGCAACGGGTGGGGCCTGATGTCAGCTCTGAGTAGAGGGAGCCAGCAGCATGGCCCTGAGAGAAATAGGCATGGCAAAGTGCCCACCTACTGTCTCCAAGCAAATAACTGTTAAAAACAAACTATTATTGATTGGGACTTAAGCTTGCAGGAGCCACTTTCTCCTAGGACAGGGATAGGCAACCTTGGCTGTTTTATGACTCGTGGACGTCAATTCCCAGAATTCCTGAACTGGCTCAGGAATTCTGGAAGTTGAAGTCCACGAGTCATAAAAGAGCCAAGGTTGCCTACCCCTGTCCTAGGAGAACCACTTTAGACTCCAAGTTGCTAGCTAGACAGCCACCATCCTTTCTTTGTGTGGAACACCTTTTCACTTAAGAAGATTAGACGAAATATTGCTCTTTGTGTGCACACCATTTCTTCCAGGTGCAAAGGTTCTCTGAACCAGTCTTTCCTAAACTGGGGTCCTAATACTTGGGACTACAGCTTTCAGAATTGTCAGTTGGTACAGTAATTGGCTACATATGTAGCTTGAAACCCTAGAAATCATTCTTCCAACTTTTAGGTGTAAAACAATGGATCTAAGTGAATTACTTGCAATCTGCATTTTAAGACAGATTATCATTTAGAGTCACAGTGGTTTAGCTGCTTGCTTATTGAGGGAAGAAACCACAAGACTTCTACTAGCGATTAGCACTTCCCGCCTGCAAACAAAGCTGTGTCTTTGCTTAAAATAATGCTCAAAAGTATTTTCCTTTTGTGCAAGGATTATTCTCCAGCTTCTCTTCAGTCTTCTACGAAAGAATCTCTGCTGTATACTGTATATAAATAAGGTTTCCTATTAACTTCCTTCCCATTTTCCATTAAAGGTAAACTCTTCTTTGAATCCAGCTCAAATCTTAATGACTTCATAAAAACATCCGTATAGTTGGTAACAATGGTTTGCCATTACCTTCTTCAGAGATGTTTTTTCAATTTCTCAGTTTAGACTGCAGTCTTGAGATTTCCTCACCAGATCTGATTCCACTGACTTTTTTTGAGACCAGCCCCAGCTATAACAATGGAAAACAAGATTTACCAAGGACACTTCTGCAAAAGAGGTTTTGTTTCTATTTTAGAATTAGATAAATGCCATAAAACAGATTCTGTACTGTGCCGTCTATTTTTTAAGAGGCTATTTGCATTGTTATATTAAAAGTATGTTTCTAAACTCTCATTTGCCATGAAAAAAATTTAGGAGGCAAAGAAGAATTTTCAACCTTTAAACTTCTCCAATGCAACCCTCACAGGATTTCTGATTTCAGACTCCTTCAGGTGGAAAAGAACTTTTTGGGGCCACTTTTGCAGGGATGAATTAAAGCTCAAAAGTCTTTTCTTTCCCATGGTCCTGTCAAACTCCACCATTTGCATCTGCTTGTTGAGGGAAAATACAGACCACCCCATTTTTCTATATGAAATCCATTGCTCTTTTTGTACTGAAAATGCAAGGAAAGCCTTGCCATTCTTTCCCTTGCCTATGATGATGTATTGGCAATACACTTATATGACTGCAACAACTGAGACAGAAGTAATAATTTTAAATTCCCATCCCAAATTGGATCAGAACAATAAGTGGGCACACAAGAAGCAAGTTCATGATCATGAAGAGTCCTTATGACGGTACTCAAAAGCTGCAAGCAGAACCCCAATGTTATATAGTATGTGAGGTGCCTTAAGCTCTTCTCCAGACTTCTTGCTTTTCGCCAACAAAAAAGTCTGGAATGACCAGAAAAGTGAGTCCTTCCATTTTAATCCTAAACTTGGGGAAAAGAATGGATCTGTCATTATTCTATGCTGTAGTTTAGCCCTGCTCACTGATGTAAATTATATGGCTTATGTGGCTTCATGATAGAGGAAATCACTCATGCTGATCTTACTAAATACAGCTCTTGTCAGCATTCATAGCAAAAGCCTTATTGAAAATCTTGGCTAAGTCCTTAAGATTGTTGATGGTGGTTACCATAGATTCATATTACTGAGCTTACTCTTTTTCTAAAATTATCTCCAAGTCAAAAGGAGGAAAAAGAATGAAGTTAGAATGAGGGTTGCAGGCCCTTCCGCTTGCTCCAGGCACTGCATTTTGAACTCTTATGAGAAATAGAATCCATTTGAACAAATCCAAAAATATCATTGGAAAAACCAGAAATTGTCCTATTTTTGCTGTTTCCCGAGAATAAGCATATTAAATTTAGAGAGGTCTCAGAAGCAAATGTATTAATACTATTAGTATTTATCTTTGTCCAGCCTGGAAACTTAAATCTGCAGCTGTTTGTAATCTCAAGATGCAAAGGTTTTCATATTCTCCTTCCAATCTTGCATATTTGCTTATATTTAATATTAAAGCTTTTTAAACACTGATTATGATTATGTGATGTCATAAAAATTTAGACTTTATAAACATAGAGCCCATCTTCTTTTTTAAACACTCAACAAAGGAAAAGATTGTGGTTTCTTCCCTGCTGTTGAATTCTAGCCTCCTTAATCTCTTCAATATCTTTATGAGTATAAATACATTTTTGAAACTTAATATATTAAATTGTATTAGGGAAATTATTTCAGGAACTCCTTTAAATTTGATTCTAGCAAAAGATGTAAAAAGAATCTGACACTGACTTGAAATAGCTTTTCATTTACAGATTGACCAATTACTTATCTTGTCATTATTTTGAACATTTGGAAGTAGCACTTGTGCTCGCTTTGGCTGGACTGGTATTTTCAGATTAGTATGATTAAATTTATACCACAGACTGTTAGACAGCTGAAGATTTCTATTCAGTGAAGTAACATCCATACTTCTTTGGTTGATCATTTCTCTGCCTGATAGGTTTCAGAAGTAATTCCTTTAAATCAGGGGTGTCAAACTGCCGGCCCATGGGCCGGATGCGTCAGGTGGAAACCGCACCCACCTCATTGCTGGCAATGGCAAAACCGGCCTGATATGTTGCGCGACGTCGCGAGTTTGACATGCCTGCTTTAAAACTATGTTTTAAAGCATTTTTTTCAAACTTCTTTGGTGAACTACATATAGAGACATACTGTATGTTGGGGAGGGATAAATGAGATGTAACAACCAAGAGTTGAATTAATAGCTTCATTCTGGTCTCGGTAACACTGGGAAGATAATTCAGGGTTATTCTTCATTCTGGAAGGCAAACATTAAAATCCAATCCTCTTATCCATCGTCCAAGTCCTATTTAATTTAGAACAACCATTTCCAAAGTATTACTTGTACTTTGAGAAAAAAACTGCAGAGGATTCATCTAAAGCTGCAGAGGATTCATCTTATTCATCACTTGAACTATGACCTCAAGTGCTCAGAATTCTGCACCTTAGAATCAGATAATAACACATATCTAATATTTCATGGTATTACTCTGAAAAACAGTATTTCATAAGAAATGACTAGCAATTAATTTCAAATTTTAGTCGTATCAATTTTCTTCATGGGAAATGTGTTTAGTATTCCTTGTTTCTACCTTTAGAGCAGCCATAAGGCACATTTTAACCAGTCATTTATTTATTAATTTTAAACTCCCCCTATATTTGATTTTTAATTAGTTGCCTTGACTTCTCAATTTAGTAGGAAGGCAGGATATAAATAATGTAACACCAACTATGAATGTCTAGGAATGAAAGAATAGTTCGAACTTATGGACAATTGCAATAAGAAAATTTTATTAACAATGAAACAACAAACATAACTCTCTTATTTTTGTCAGAGGTAAATGCAGCGCTGCATTATGTACCTTGCACTTACTATGAAATGCAGTTGAACTTTGAAAAACTTCTGCCCCTGCAGTATTTTCTACATGGGAGGAGTCTTTCAGGAATAGGTAAAAGGAGGGCTCTGTTGTAAAAGTTGCAGCATTTTAAAGTTCACTCTAAAGTCAGCTAACAATTTTTCAACGTAAATTTAACTGCTGGAATATTTTCCTCTCTTGGCCAGCAGCTCATCTACTACTGCCAGTTAATTAAAAAACCTATGAACAAGACAATACATCTGATTTTTTTTTGTTCCCAGCTTTCTTGGAATGAGGCATGTAATCAGAATATGTTATGGAAAAAATAAAACGGAAATTAATGAAGGAAAATATTTGTAAATGAGTTATTATGCATATGACTTAACGATATTTCCTGACTGAAAACAATAATTGTTACATAGATTATATCATTTGAAGACCTTAAGTTGATTCATTATTAAACAATTGGTATCTCAGCTTTATAATGTAAAAAAACTAAGCATATAGAGACAGCCTGGAATATGTCAAGTTGCTTATTTAAAGAATGTGGTCATTGTCTTTAATCAGGGTAGAAGGGACTAAGGAAGAAATAGTATGGTGTTTTGAGGGAATTGCTGACATTTTTCAAAATCAGTGAGATTTCAGATTTTTTTTTCAAAAGCACTTAAATTTTGGACTATATTATGGAGGCATAGATGAGTGCAAGCATGTTGAAAATATATGGAACACAGAGTAAAAGTATAATTCCAAAATTCAAATTTAAGAGGATTCTACATATTAAGAATTGCTTTTCTCAAAATCACACTTTGGCTAGAAGAAAAAACCCAGAGAGCTATGATTTTCAGAAATAAACTAAAATTTGTTGTTAAACATCTTAGAAAAATTAAGAATAGATAATTAAACATTTTCCATTTAGAATTGTATTCCATCTCCTGTGATTTTTCCCCAGGAGATTATTAGTTATTCAGTAACACTAAAAGCTCACATATAGCAGATTATTAGTGGGTGTTTTTTTTAAACCAAAATAAGTACTAAATAACAGAGGCAGCTTTCTCACTAGCATGGAAAATATCATGTGATATGTATGAAACCATATAGCTCAGTAAACTGAAATTCTTAATTTACCACATCCTTTCCCCTTCTCTTCCTTCAAAGTCTTCTTCTTCTGACATGGGAAAAAATATAATCTAACACTTATACAATTCAGAAACTGTGGTACAGTTGATAATGCTTGACCTTTCTCCTCTCCACAACCCAAGGATGTAAACCATTTTGATAGAGCATATAATTTGCAAATACCAAGGCCTGTTCAGAGAACTTTAATTGTACTTCATTGCTCTATTAATATAACTGGAACCAGTTAAGGATAAACTATTACCCACCAATACAAATAACTAATCCTTATGAATTTGAAGTTGTACAAAAGGAAATGCTGCATAAGTGGCTGGTGATTTGAGAAGGGCAGGGATTAAATATTCCTATCCATTTTTTAGTTCTAGTCATCCACTCCAGCAATATATATTCTTCTTTAAAAATGCTTAGTAGGCTACAATATATCTGCTTTTATAAATCATGCAGAATGCACTTAAGTCCAGTTAGTTTCATAAAAACAAAGAATTTGCTACATAAATGTCTAAAATACTAGGCCCTTAATTAAGAAACTGTAATGTAATTGTGAAATTACTGGTCATAAAACTGTACCTAAATTCTTGAGACCAGATTTATGTATCAGTGCGATTTCACAGAGCTGACAGCAGAAGATTGAATTAGTATCATAAAATTCTTGTCCTAATGAAAAAAATAATACAACAAAATCTGATTTTGACAGTCTCCAACAGTGCAGAAATAGATATGCAAACAGCTTAGGAGATCTGTGTCTTTTAAGTTAGCAATATCATTAGACCAAAAAGGTTCTTTTAAAATTAAGACATAGGCTTTTGTTCTCAAATGGTTGTAAGCTATTTCTGCTTATAAGAAGAAGGAAGAAGTTTTGCGAGTCAGTTTCATTACCTATGATGTCATTCATTACTGCAGAAATACTAGTTAAGTATATATGCCATGGGAAAGGTATGTAGAGTTAGGTAATCTACAAAATAAGCCTCAGAAGCTAAAGAATCTTGAATGACAAACAAAAAACTCTCTCCATTTATAACCTACTTAACTCTTCAAATTCCTAAAATTCAGAGCTTGATACTAATGCTTGAGCAATACAGCATAGTCTCATCTAAAATTTAGGATACATAAATGACAGTGATATTCATAAGGGAGATAAATGACCCCAGAAATAGTTCTCTACTAAGATTTATCTCCTAAAATTTGAGAATCATGTTAGCCGACATTTGTTAAATCAAATGCTTTTAAAAAGCATTAATTATTAACTTGGTGGCTTTTTTTACTCTGTCATTCTGAATGTTATATATTTGTTAGATATTTTTTTCTGACCATCAGAATTACTTAATGGATGTTGCTTGCATCTGTACATCTTCCTGTATTTTCTTCACTGTACTGGCAATCAAATTGCAAGCTTTCTTGTGCTTTTGCCAGTGCTGCACTTGACACTCTCTAAAGATGAGTAAAAAATGAAAAAAAAAATAGTAATGATAATGATGATAACTAAAACAACATTCAGAATTTTTCCTTACTACTGTTAATATCTGCATGTACTTCTTTTACTCATAAAAATGATTTCATAAATGGTAATTTGGGATTTGGATGTTAAGCCTATATAGATATAGATATCTATCTATATCTATGTAGGATACAACACACTGCTCCAAGCTGCTGCCGCCTGGAACGGAGCTTCCGAGGGCTGGATCCAGGCCTTGGAGGGATCCTCCAAGCCGTTTGTGCCAGGAACGGAGGTTGGGGGGAGCTTCTGCATGTCTCTGGAGGTTGGATCCAACCTCCGGAAGCTCCATTCCAGAAGCTCTGTTCCAGGCGGCAACAGCTTGGAGCGTATGTGCATGGACAATTGGAACTGCCATTTAAGTAAAGTTGTGTGTACCACCAAACAAAAACGTTTTGATGCAGCTGTGTGAGCCTTTCCAATTTTTTTGAGGAGGGGTGTTCATTCAAATGCTTTGCACAATTTTATTCTGAACTGGATACAAATGCAAGGAAAAATAGATTCCAACTGAAATTAATGAGAAATAATTTGCTAAAGCAGAACTATATTTGGTATCTAACTTTTTGAGAAATGTAACCAAACACTGTCAGAACAGATCTTACTGTTGCAAAATAATACCCACAAGACCATCTACTGATCTAGAGAAGTACAGGTAGTCCTTGAATTACGAGTATAATGGAGCCTGCACATTGTATTCATAACTCAAAAACTGGTAGAATGAATCTCATACCTCAAACGGGATCACTCCATTGCTCGTTAAAATGCATGTGGCTCGTTAAGTGCACATGAGGTATCTGGGGTGGGAAAGGCAATGGCGGGCCTAGTGATGGAACAGGCCTCCCCGACACACTAAGGTACCTCATGCTTCCCCCTCCCTTCTTGCCGTGCCGGACTCACTTACTTTGCAAAGATCCGTCTCTTCTCTGCCGTGGTCCCTGCTTTTGAGGGACAGAGTCGAGGGAAGCCCCTGGGTGCAGTAATATCATGCAAGTTCAGGCAGCAGAGAGGATTTGTGCAAGATAAGTGAGTCTGGCGCGTCAAGAAGGGAGGGAGAAGCAGTTGTGAGGAGGGGGGAATAGGGTGAATGTTGCAGTGCCACTGAAGTCACTCGTAAGGGCGAACGACTGCCATGGTGCTGCAATATTCGTAATTTTTGGACTTGCTCGTAAACACTAGGGGGCGCTGATCATGTAACTTCAAATCAACGTTAAGTGAATGCTCATAATTTGGGGATTACCTGTAATGAAGAAGCAGATTGCAATATTGCTAGTTGCTACAATTCCTTTCAAAGCAGACATAAATGGCACATAGAAGTAGATAGATAGATAGATAGATAGATAGATAGATAGATAGATAGATAGATAGATAGATAGATAGATATAGAGATATACTTGAATATACACGATCACTTCTGAGGGACATGATTCAAGCCCCTTAGAGGTCATTGTTCAATTAATGTCCTACTGTTACAGAACTGTCAGATGATAACCAAAGAAAAAAAATAAATTTGGTAATATAGTAAAATAAATCTCAGTCATATTACTTATAGAGGCAGGATTGAAACTGGCATGGTTTTCTCTATTGGAAACTCAATAGTAACATAAGTAGTTAAGCTCTGACTTATAGCAATCAGGAAGAATAACCCAATTCTGGATAATCTCTACTTTTACAAGAGTCCACTTTCTACTGAAGAGAAAATGTTCTAAGTATCCTAATTATTAGTGATAACATTATGAACCATATTATGGACAAAGTTTAAGTTTGAATTCTACTTCTTTCACAAACAAAGCCAATGTAATAAAATATGGTTTTATTTTAACTTGGGACATAAGAATTAGATGTAATTTATTAAAATGTTAATGCAATAAAATATTTCTACACCCATACATACATTCATGTTTGTTTACAGAGCTCAAGCTAATGAGATGCTTACAGTAAATGAATTATGAAAGTAAGGGTCTGTTAAATGAAAATTAGCATTTCAACTTTATAGTATTTATAATATTTTTAATATTGGTATTATTTTTGTTTCTAAATATCTATGTTACCATAAGATTAGTGGAGGATTTAGGATAACATGAAAACTAGTGGTATTAAACTTACCGTTTGCAATACCATTCATTCCTACAACGGGAGCAGCGTTTTGTGGCCGCAGAGCCACACATTGCACACTTGGGTTTATCTGGAATTAGGGCTTCCATGACATCCAGGTTATATGTCTTTGCCCATCTGATTTAAGAAAGAAAGCAACCTTCATATAATACAACAACTGCAACAATTATCCAGTGATATCTACAATAGAAATGGAACTCTCACATTAATTTCATATTTAGTAAATCATTATTAAAAGTGAATTTATACCAATGAAATTGACTTCAGTACCCTTCAGTACCCTTTGAAATTGACTTCAGATTTTGGAATACGACATTAAGTAAATGATTTCTAAACTTATTGAATTAAGAAAATGAATTTTTTATTTTTCAAATTGTGGGCTTTCAGGTTAATTCTATGTATCTTGATAATGTAACAATTACAATCTTTGACAAAGGAAGAAGCTAAATATGAATGAATCTTACCTATAAGCCTGGCTTTTCAGCTCCTCTTCTGAAGGACTAAACATATTGTTTACTTGGTGCTTGGCAATTGCTTGCCATTTTCCAGAGTTTTTTCTGACAACTTGATCCCAGATTTCAGGAACCTGTTAGGACAATAAAAGAACAGAAGACTTATTTCTTTCAAACAGTATATCAAAAATATTTTGAAATTCTGATGTTCATTACAACATTACGATAAGAGATCATAAAGATTAACTTGAAACAAAAAATATAATACTATACTAGATATTTTAACTTGGGAAAAATTTACCCTAAAGAAAAAAAGCAGGGACAAAACTAGATTAAATAGGAATTCCATTTTTATAGACTGGTATTAACTTATGGGGGAATGTGACCTCTTTTTCACTTCACCTTGTCATATTAGGTTCTAGAAAATCATTCCCATTTTAGGAGCAGAGAGATTAGGAAAGGAATAACATTTACTCTCCTTTTCTGCAAATTCATTTTTAGGTAAATACCAAGCATGTGTCCAGCTAGTTAGTAAATAAATAACATGCACTTTTGTTTTTTTTACAAAATGCATTGGAATTTTAAAAGTGATCTGTAAGGTCTTTCTGCTGCCTGAAATGAAGATGTTTCCAGTGGGAGAGACTTCTGGTCCTGCACAGTAGTTACTGGCTGTGGGCTTGGGGACCACCGCAATCCCACGGCTAATTTTCATCCTAGCCACCCCAGAGGGCAGCGAAGAAAGAAGGGTGCCCCGGCAACTCTGGAATGACAGCAGTTGTTCCATTTGTCTTGGGGAAAGCCTTTTAACCCAATAGGAGAAAGGCTGTATTTCACCGATCAGCCCAAGCTACTTGCAACCAAAGCCCAAAAGAACTAACCAGCACAACAGTAAACCGTGTGCTTGAAACTGGGTGAGGAATCTGATTTTCCCTTTTCTACTCTACACTTAATTTCCTGGAAAAGATCCCCAAGAAGCAAAATATTTCCGAAAGTGAAGGGGGGTGACTTCCGCCCACCCTTATACTAATGGAAGCGGCAAATTAAAATTTCCATGGAGGATCAAAATATATGGTAGTGAAATAAATTTATAAATTTGAAAGCTAAAATTTAACTCGGGGTCTACCAGAAGGAATATATAAAAAAGAAATATTTGTTTGAATATGGTTAAAGAAATAGAAATGATTCTGAATACATATGTCATTCTAAGAGGGATGAACTCCTTAAATAATACTGTATGCTTTCCCCCCCCCTTTATTATTTTATTTCTTGATATAAATAATATAATACTGTTGAAATGGCTTAGATGAAGGAAATGTTATAGATAATTCAATGTGTTTGAATTTATGGAAATTATAATGTATAAAAATGTTTTGAATAAGAGTTAAAGGATTAGATGATTAGACACATTAAATGGAATATTTAAAGATTAAATATATTTTTAATTGTGGTTAAAAAGAATAAGAAATTTTGGGAATGAATACATATTAGCTTAGGAGGAATATATATTTTAAGTAGTATTTTACTGTTTATGTTTTTTTACTTTTGCTCTCTTTTCCTTTTGTTTACTGTTTTTACCTATTCTTCAAGAAACGTAAAAGTGTTGAGATGGTTTATATGGGAAAAATGGATTTCAATCTTTAAATGTAATTAACTGTTGAGAAAATCTTAACCAGCAAGAATACTTTGAACTTTATGGGAGAAACAAATCTAAATAAGGACTGTAACAGGATATATAAGATGAGGCAACCAGAATGATTAGATAGAAAAGAAATATTATATTGATGTGATCATTATTTCTAGGAATATTGGGGGGAAATCATATATGTAACTGTTATTTATCAATCTGTATTAATTCAAAGTTTGCAAAGAAGACATTATGGGGAAAAGGAGAAATCAACTAAATGTACTATGTGGATTATGGATCATAAAAACCAATTGTTAATGATTTTCTTTATAAATGTGAACCCAGCAAACACTGTTTACCAACTATTAAGTGATTTATGTTTTAAAAAATCAATAAAATATATGGGGAAAAAAGACTAACCACAAGGAACTTAACAAAGAAAGTTTAACCATATACTTTCAATAAAGAGAAGATAAAAATTATACATTTTATATAATAAAACTAGAAAAATCATGAGAAGCTTTCCTTTGGTTTAATAGATTTTATTGTAGAGGCTGCAGTAACTTTGCTTATATATCTTCTGTTGATGAGAGAATGAAATACATATTTCCAAGTAAAATGGCTACTATAACTAGAATCTATACATCATTTCCATTGGTATCCCAAAAAGGTAATGCAGTGTGTCATCAGGGTATTCAGAATATAGAGATATAGAGATTATATTCTCTGGGATTGTGGAATATAAGAATAGGACAAAAGTAGCAGCGATGCACATTACTTGCTCCAGTATGAGGTCCTTCTTAGGTGGATCAGGGTCTGTTACAGCAAGATGGCTCAGGAATTTCTGCATCTCCAAAAGATTGGGAAATTGGTCAACAAGAACATCGGTCAGGAAGGCACGAAGCTAAACAGAGACAAGACAAAACTAAAATATATCGTAAAGCATTTTCAATGACACATGCATATTTTATATTACAAAACTGGATTGTAAAAATATTATGAGAACTTTAAGCAATCTCTCCTGTGCCAGACTCATTTGCCCACCTCCAATCACCAATTCATTTTTTTCTATTTTTAGCAAAAAAAAAAAAAAAAAACGTAAAAGGTTTCCAATCACTAATAAATGTATCTGTTGTTTTCTCTCTAATAAAAAAGTCATTTTGCCATTTTTGCAATTTATGTCGCTTCAATAAATTATATGTGTATATTAATCATATAAGAACTAGGCTGACAATATTGATGTCAACATTGAGGCCTCTAAGAAGTCATGCTCCAAAAATGCACTTTTCCATCCTTCTAACAATGTCTAGCCCACTGATTTGGGCATTATACTCCTTTTTTATTTATTACATCTTAAATCTCATTTACTTTTTTATACAATTTAAAGAAAGCTTGATTCCACAAGACTTTGGGCAGCTAGCAGCTTTAAAAACAAGAAAACAATACTAGTAAGAACACTGATAATAGGTGACCAAAATGAGACAGACACATCAAAAATAGATATTTGACAAGACTTCAATACAATTAAACTTATTTTTAAAGCAACTAATGCATATAGAATAGTCATTTTGTGCTTTAGGTGCAGAAATGAAATAAAAATTATATTTAAAAATCTTGTATTCCATTCAATCTATTAAGAATATAAGCAGTATTGCACTATGGTCACTAAGAAGTCTTTTATATGAGATTTGTGTTACAACCAAAATCCCCAAATCAAATATTTTGTGGTATCTATGGAATGATAAAAATACTTATTTAATTGAAAATAAGATTCCATAGCAAATATTTGTAGACTACTTTTACAGAAACACGAAAAAGGATTTGAATTTGAAATGTTGCAATTTGTTCACAAAATGACTGTGTTATTGAACTGGATTGTTAGAAATGTCCAAGCTTGAAGTAATAAAAGAAATTTGAGCTCAACATACTTTGGATCAGATCAGAACATATATACATACTGTGTGTGTGTGTGTGTGTGTGTATATGTGTTTGTATAGATAGATGGATAGAGAGAAGGGAAATGCATTAATATCCTCAACTGATGTAAGTTATACTGATTTCTTTTTATCCATATACTTTAACAATGTTTAAAATACCAATTAAATATTTTAATAAATCAATTTTTAATATTTGTAAAAAGATATTAGTATTATTAGTCTTTAAGTTTTGATGGCAGCTTTTGACTTTTTCCCAAAGTATCTGAAATTGCTTTCATGTTTGGCGTGTGTTTTCTTTTCTTGTGATGGTATTTTGAATTTTTGTCTAATTGTAAACTGTAACATTTTAATATGTTTTGCATTTATTTGTATAACACTAGATGATTTAAGTAGTATCAACATACATTAATGTACATTTACTACATTAATTCAATTTTTTGCAAACAATTTGTGAGACAGTGAATAATTAATACACAAAAATAAATCCATATTTAAAGGGAAAAGAAGTCCACGTTCAAATTTGACAAATTTATGTTCTACTTCTGTAGCATTCTAAAACAAAATTACCTGGGGACTCCAAGTTAAAAAGTTTTTAACATCCTATTTCATAGTTAAAATTTGTTTGTTACTAATTATCTAAGAATGAATTACGATTTGACTTATTTATTTAGTTATGGCTTTCATCCCTATGTTCATTCTAATTTATTTATGTTGCTCAATATATGTATATATATCTGATGTGTGTATCTTTCGATATCCAATAGTGAGAGGAGTTATTATCTGATGCAATATTAAAACAATCCCTTTCCTGCTTCCTGCTATACTGTTTAAAACTAGAATACAATATTAGGTCTAAACATGCTAAGGAAAACATGAAATACACATAAAAGGTGTGCCAGTTTTGCAATCCTGTACCTTGAGGAGCTGGCTTTTGTTAAAACTATTGAATTCATACTTGCGCTGGCATTCTGGGCTAAGGAGTAGGTTATAAAGAGCAAGCCACACTTGCCCATCCAATTTAGTCATCTTCATGCGGTCTTCAGGGGCAACTTCATACCATGAACCATTCTCAAATTTCTTCAATTTTCCTAAGGAAAAATGTAAGAAAAAATATCTTGGTATGAAATATTGTTTGATACATACAGAACATTAGTGTACAATTGCACTGTTTAGCAACTGTTCAAGCTTATGAGAATAATGAAAAAGTACTTTTATGACTGAACTTCAAATTTACAAGAGTTGCAGCATGTCCGTGATCAAGTGATCCGATTCGCACGCAGCATAAATTTATGAAGATCACAGTGTCCCCACGTTCACATTATGGCAATTCAGGCACTTTGCAACTGGTGTGCATTTATGACAATTGCAACATCTACGGTCGTTTGACTGTCATTTGCAACTTTCATAGCCAGCTTCTCACAAGCAAAATAATGGAAAAACCAGCAGTAAGCTGCAAATTGCAGTCATATGATGTCATGCTTAATGACATGTGATTCGTTTAATGACTGTAGCAGAACTGAAGTGAAAGTCAGCTACAGTCACATGATATTTCACTTAATGAAAGTGTTAATTATCTACAGAGTCGTTAGTCACAACTGTAGGACTACCTGTAATTATATCATTTCTTGAAAGGTGAAGAAGGTACTATAAATATACCCTCATACTTTTATACAAGTCCAAATTCACATATGTGCCATCTTTATACATGTGTAAAGATTCTTTTGCTGGAGCTGCACTGATTGCTTCTAGGTGCAATTTAAGGTGCTGGTTATCACCTTTAAAGTCCTACATTGCTATGGGGCAAATTATTTGATGGACCATCTTTCCTCAATAACATCTACCAGAGCAGGAAGGCAAGGCATGTTAAGAGTCCCAGCTACCAAGGAAATACATCTGATGGGACCTAGCAAAAGGGTCTTCTCTGTGATGGCTCCCTCCCTTTGACATATCATTCCCAGAGATATGATTAGCCCCCACTTCGTTGCTTTTCGGCAAAGCCTTGAAGACATGGTTTTGTCAGTGGGCTTGGAGATCCCATTTGGAGCTGGTAATATTTTTCAATTGCATAAGATAGAAAAACTGCTTTGGTCCAATTGAAAATGTTGAAAATATATTTTCAGCACAACACACATGATGGAGGGTTAGCGTCTGCATAATAATGGGATTTTCTCAGTAACCTTTTTTTAGGCTAGTGTTCTCCATAGATGCTTGGCCTACAGTTCTTAAAATTCCCAATCTGTGAGTCAAAATACATCTAGAGGATATAAATTGGAAAAAGGCTTCTCCACTGAAATGAAACAAACTTTTCAGATATAACAATACATTGTTCTCTGTTGAAACTTTAAAAAACATAAACTTTCATAACCTACATAGTTGCTGTTGGGTTTTTTGGGTGGATGGTTTTTTCAAGTCTAGCCAACATCCCTGAAATTCAAGTAGTCCTCCATCTGCATACAATATTAGGCAGGGCTGATCTGAGGTCAGCCACATTTGAGTAGGTGCTATTTTCATCTGCTGAGGCTTTTGAACCTTAAGAATTCATTTAAAATCAATGCCTTTCACAAATTCAATTTTATTTTGAGATGCTCTTAATATCTTTCTTGGACAAATACCCTTCTCAAACAAATGGGGTTCTCTGCTTGTAACATCAGACTAATGTATCAATTTATAATTATAGCAAATCCTTAACTTACAGTTGTTTGTTTAAAAACTAGTAATGATGGCCTCGAAAAAAGTGACTTATGACCTTTCCTCAAAGATATGACCATTGTACCACCCCTGCAGTCACATGGCTGCCAGCTCTAATTAATGATAGTTGCAATGTCTTGTAGTCATATAATCATGATTTTTACCTTCCCAGATGGTTACCAACAAGCAGATAACTGGGGAAGCTGGATTTGCATAAACATTGCAGTGATTTGCTTAATGGCCATGTAATAATGATTCTAAAACCGGGTCTAGTCACATTATGACCAGCTTAACAACTGCAAAGTTTAGCAATCAAAATTGTGGTTCCAATTGTAGTTGTAAGTTAAGGACTATTTGTGTGTGGAAGGGAAACCCATCAGCAGGCATCACAGCTTGTTTAAATGGATTGTTACATTTATTCCTTATTCTTCTGTTTATCTTTCCAGGCATTTATCTTTCCGGATTTTTAAAATCCATTCTTTTCTAATTACAAAAAAAAAAAGAACATAGAAATGTTCACTACATTATTTTGTCACACACAGAGAGAATTTCTAAGACATGATACAGACCTTCTTCACGATTGGTCCATGGACAATGCTCTAAGAGCTGCACCAGAAGGCATGGAAAATTGTGGGTATTCAACATTCTTGTCACAGAACTTACTGGCAAACTGACAAAGTATATGAGAGAAAAAGGATATAGTGAAAAACAAAATAAAACTTTAGCAAAAAAGTGTCTGACCTCTCAAACTACTGTAGCACAACCAACACAAGGTACAAATCCACTAACAGATTATTACCCCATAGCATCTCTGTAGCATGTAAACCAACTACAACTATGATGATGTGACCTAGCTTGGGTAATGAGACATCTGCAAGAAAACAAGCAAGCTCAGAGAGCACCAAGGATTTCAACCCTGAGCTACTGTACACATATTCTCCTTTGTTGCCAATAAAGCCCTTCAAAACAAGTTAAAACAAAACACTCAATAGTCCAAGCAGAAAAAACAAGAGTCATCTACAGCAGTGGTCCCCCTACCTTTTTCGCTCCAGCGGTGGTGGCAGTGGTTGCGGGGGGAGGGGATAGTTTTGTGTGTGCAATCTAATCCTGTAAATAAAGCTTCATATGCTCACCCACCACTTGTGCAGCCTGGTTCCCAATGGGCTGTGAACTGGTACTGGTCAGTGGCTGGGGTTAGGGATTCCTGATCTACAGCATATAGTGTAAGGATTGTAACAGCCAATATGTAGGACAGTCAGGCAGAAATCTAGCAGAGAGTGTCCATGAACATCAACTAATAGTCAGAAGACATGAAAACTTCTTAATCTCACATGGACAGACTCAACAACAATCTCAGCTGTGAAACTGTGAGCATCCTGGATCAAACCAAATCCCAAAACACTAGGAAATTCCTAGAAGCTTGGCATTCAAACAAATCAGCTGTCAATAGGAACATACAATTAAACCATATTTATATACCATTCCATAGAAATAACAAAAAGTTAAAATGGAAAAAAAGACCAGAACACAACCCTCCCTGAGCTACAGTACAAATAGTCTCTTCTATTGAAAAGATTATCTTTCCCAAGTGCCTTATTTCTTTTATGGAAAGTTAACATACCTCTCTATCACATCAGTAATGAAGCGGAACACTGAAAGAGCTCTCAGTGAGATCTCAAACTCCATCATTTCAGCTTGCTTCTTGAGTTCCTGTAAAAGACACATAATACAATCCTACTAGATGGGAAAATCTGAGGTGCCTAAAATTTTAAGGAATGGCTGGAAATTTGGAGGGCAGCCATGGCAGTGGCCTCTGAATTCTGAAAAGATTTTTCTAGAAAAACTCTAGGAAATGCCAATACTGTTATTCTATATATCAATTTGCTCCCAAAATCTAAATATCCAGGAGGTTGCATGGTAATAGGGTGACTGTTCTTTTTATGAGTTAAGGAAATATAACGGTCTGATCTTGAGATTAGATGGCTCCAAACATATTCTTAGTTGGGAAAAGATATGCATTGCTAGGAGTTTAATAACCATGCAGTCTGGAGTATGATGACCTCCAGGATGTTGCTAAAGAAGTGTGTGCTGCTAAATGCCCTACGTCCAAGATAATTTCATAAGAAAAATATAAAGTGCTGGATAAATTGTACAAGGGAATAAGTATTATTGCTGTTGATTGGCTATTTGTGGTAAACAAATACATAATACTTACAACTGAAAAAAAGGAGGAAGAGAATATAATAAATGGAACAATGACATTGTGTAATATCTTTATTTGGGGTATGATCCAAACATAGAGAAGATTGGCTTCTCTATCTTGTGATGGAAGATCAGAGTCAGCAAAATGCTAAGCAGAAAGAATATAATTGTGAGAAAAGCTAAGAAACTGTATAAACAATTGGATGTAAATACATGGATAAATTAAGAAATAGGACCCTAGGAAGTTTGAGGCCAACCGATTTCAACTGGTGGAAGATAAGGCACAAGTAGATAATTATGTTGTTAAATTGATGGAAGAGAGAGCAGTGTGTTACTCTCTCTTAAGAGGGCTAATTGATTGTGACATTTCTGGATACTCACAGGTCAAATCAAGATACTTGATTTAAACATTCTTTCATGGCTACCCAACATTTTGCAACTGTATTCAATTATGATAACTTGTATTTTCCCTTTACCTAGAGTGGCTGCCTAGCCCTAGGACTAAGAGATAGTATCTTTCACTCACCTGCATTGATGAAAGATTGGCAAGATCCTCAGGTTGAAGCTTTTGTTCAAATGGTATCTTCCCATTGGCACTTTGAGCTGCTAACAGGGTCAGTTTCCTATGGGTATAATCTATTAAATCCAGAATGGTATCCTCTGCTGATTCACAGATTTCCTATACAAAGAAGACAAGCTATATTTTATCTTCTAAAATGAAGGCAAATATCAAGATCACTTAAATTGTTTTAATTTCATCTCAGCTGGTAGATTAGTCTACTCACTGGTTATCTGGAAAAATGTTTCTCAGTTAAACAATCTTTGTCAATTATAATTTTGTATCTTATGACTTGGTACAATAAATTCCTTCTCCATCTAAAATAGCTTCCTACCTGATAGGCATTCAAAATTTTGTATTCCCAAAGGCAAGCAAAATACCTTACTGGTTTTGTATTGCTAAGGAATGAATTGTGGATTCGCCCAAAGTAAAGAAAAATGAAATTGTAATAATATAGAAAGTTTAACAGCAATTATCTGAGAAAGATTTGCAGGGGTGATCACAATGGTACAGAAAACACCAAGAAGCTTGGCCAGACGTACATCAAGTTTGGGAATGAATCTTGTCCCTTCCTTCTAGATTATCATAGGATTTAGATAGGTCAACAAATTGAGAAAAGTCAATTACTTGAAAGTGTTAACATTATTTAAAAGTTTCAAGCTAGTTCAAAAAGCAGAACATTTTTGTTTCATCTTTTGCTTACTCACTTTATAGTACAAAAATAAATAAAATTCATTTGATTTGAAATGCTAATGTAATTATGAAAGGAAGAATTGAGATGAGTTAGTCAGTTCTTAAAGGCAGCACCTGGCTCTTTATGGAAGTGGTGTTCTTACTTCTTCTGCATAATTTGAACAGCTCTTAGGACTTTTTTTCACAAATGAGCTGAAATTTCTCCATCTATTCTTGAGTCAATGTGAAATGAACATTGCTGCCCCATTGCCAATCCCTGCTTCTTCTCTAAGGCTCTGTTTCTGAGTCACTGGAGGCATCTGATTTTCCTTGAAGGTAACATACATTTTATACATGTTGGGATTACCTTTGCTATATCAGAACAATGGAAGAAATACTATTTTAATAGCTATATAGTTAAAAGTACCTAATGCCAACCCATCTCACTCTTGTGTTGCAGATGGGATGAAGGCAATGGTTGAAAAAATAGCATCTAGGGTATGTTTATGCCATGGTTAGGTGCAAATGAGCAAAGCTGTTGAATTTGAAATATGGATTCCAAACAAATAAATGCCAGACAAGTAAGCACCTGAGAGGAATTAGCTTGCACTTCAAATTAGTTCAGATCAGGATGATTCCAAAAGAGAGAAATATATACTTATTGTTTCCCTTATTTCCAAACTATTCAGCTATAATTGGTTCTCCTATTTATTAAGATTGTTTATAGTCAATTTGGGTCTCCATTATGAAATTATATGAAATATTGTATGAATTTGTCCAGTCCAAATCTTAAGATACAAACAGACATTTCAAAGTCATTATACTTGAAAATAAAGTACTAGTAGATGAACCTATTACTGTTTAAAATAAGATGGGATACAAGGCATATACATAACAAAGGGAACAGAAGAAAATATGTTTATACCAGCAGCTGTCTTCTAGATTGAAATTCTAATTCTTGTTGCACTAAGAATTTAGTCAGATAATTGTATTTCTTCTGGAATGGTCTAAATTATGAACTGAATTTTTTATTTCAAACTTTTACTTACATTGTGAAACTATTGCCTACCTTGTGAAAAAATACAGTCTCCAAGAGATTAATAATTGAAGCTTCATGTCGCAGCTGAATAAGAGAAACAGAGAGAGAAATCAGAAATTAATACAAATATTACCATTCTCAGAAAACAAGGTAATATGGAATCAGAAATTAAATATATTGTATTTGTGTGGCCTCTTGAGATAAATGCTACCAGGAAGCATAGAATTAAAAACAGCAAAAGTATTTTAGACCACCTAACAAGCTATAGCTGAACACAATGTGAATAGTTATTTCTCCTTCCTCTCCTTTGTCAAAGTGTAAGAATTCAGAACTGTTCCCTCGTTCTGAGCTTATGCTATCCAAACAGACTACACTGAATGTTTTCTACTTTGTATAAAACAAGCCAACCAGTATTGTATATTGAAATCCAAAGTGTAAACTGATTTTCTATTATCTGAAGAGGTGCTCTCGTTCACAGCTTCTGTTTTGACATTATCTTTTATAAAAAAATTACTGAAAATAATCTGCAACATAATGTAGAACTGTTTCTTTTTGTGAGGTTGACGTTCTCCTTTCTTTGAGAAACTCAACAGGAGTTATACTGCACTCCTTTCTCTAATTTCACAGTAAAAATTCTATGATAGGTTGGACTAAGAAAAAAAAGACAAGCAGAAAGTCACATGAACTTCAACAGCTAAAACTGCCCTCCCTATTCTTATTCCAATACCTTGACCCATGCTAGCTCTTAAAAAAATAAGATGTTACATTACTCTAGCAAATAAATATCAGAAGCATCATTTGGCAAATAGATCTTACAGGAAGCTTTGAAATGTTCTAATAGCAATTATTATACAAAGGCTGATTCAAAGCATTTTTCATACATACCACTAAATACAAGGGAAAAGTGCTTTTCGGTTTGAAATCCTCCAGTTTGCATAGTATAGGGAAGATCTTTTGCTTCCAAATGGCCACAGTAATTAATTCTTCAATGAGAGTTGGGATCTATACAGAATGGATAAATTAAGTATACTGTTTGCAAGGTTTAGATCAGTGCTTCTCAACGTTTGTGTGACAGCGACCCCCGTCACACAAACGTTTTGTGCATGCGCGGCGCCGCCCCATGCGCGCCGCCGCCCCATGCGCAATGCGCATGCGCGGCGCCCCCCATGCGCAACGTGCGTACACGGCGCCCCATGCACGATGCGCATGCGTGGCGGCGCCTCCGCTTGAGGTGCGCATGCGCGGCGGCCCCCCGCACGCGGCGCGCGTGCACGGTGCCACGAAAAATGGCGGATCACCACCTTTGGCGCCCCCGAAAAATGGTCGATCGACCCCAAATGGGGTCGCGACCCATAGGTTGAGAACCACTGGTTTAGATCATACATAATAGGAAACATGTCAGACTTGGGAAAGTTCTGTCTGATGGCTGAATTCATAGAGACAAATTAAATCCAAGCAGAAGACTTTCTCATTTTACTTCTATTTTTGTACTCAGGAAGACAAGAAATATTATTTGTAACAATAATGGGAATGTATTTTGCTTTCTAAGGAACACATATCTGTATCTCTTTCATGCTCTCATTCTATGCATGCCCTTAGTAGGTTTGCTTCATCGTGTTTTCTCCAGTAGGGTTACAGTTTACATATACAGTCAAAACCATTCCTTCCAGATAAGTTATTTCCTCATAATGTAGTGATACGGCTGTAGTTAAATTAGGAAATTGACAAAAATGCTAATGAAGCATATTGTCCCAAAGATGCTCTTTCAAAAGGCAACTGGACTTTGTTTTTCCTTTAAGATGTTTTGCTTCTCATCAGTTCAGAGCTGAGGAAGCTTCTTGGATGAGAAGCAGAGCATCTTCAAGGAAAAACACCTTTGGGACAACCATGACCTGGAGAATCTCCATAGACAAACAAAGCATATTGTTTCTATCCTGTCAATGAATTTATATAACTAGATCAAAGGTATAATCAGCATATATGTTTATACCATTACAGTAAGATTAACAATTATAAAGCAATGTATTTCTAAATATAAATATTGCAAAATATATAAATAATAAAAGAGATTTTGATCCAAATTAAGTGCATATTTATTCAGGTTAATGTAGCCTTTGTCATAATATAATGATTTTCTTGTGACCAAGTGGCTGAATTCATTATACCTTGCCATTATTCACCAGAAGCTCAATAAGAATCTGCTCATGGCCAGCAGAAGCACTCAGTATGGCTTGCATGTTCAGCTTTTCAATCATTTCCTGTTGCCGTAGCCACCTAAGAATTACAATAATACAGTTAGTATTCAGTTCCTATCTATGGCTGGTATTCCAATACTTCCCTACATCCATTAGGTAACCACAATCTTACATAATTCAAACTAAAACCATCCTGGCTGGATGGGCTTTCCCTGCCAATGTTTTTTTAAAATCATCTCTTTTATATATTCCAGTGTAATCCAATTTCAAGAATAATCTCAAAGATGCACCAGTATTCCAAGTATGGTCTTACCAAGGTATTATAAAGTGGTATTAACTCCAAGTGATCTTGATTCTATCACTTTGGTAATGCACCCTAGAACTGTGTTGGCTTTTTTAACAGCTGCAGCACACTGCTGTCTTATATTTAAGTGATTGTCCACTAGGACTCTAAGATCCTCTCACAGTTGCTACTATTGAGCAAGATATCACCTATACCAGGGGTGTCAAACTGCCGGCCCGTGGACCGGACGCGTCATGAGGAAACTGCGCCCACCCCATTGCTGGAGAAAAAGCTCCGATACGGCACGCGACATCACATGACGTCACGAGTTTGACATGTTTGACCTATAATATACCTGTGCATTTGGTTTTGGGTTTTTTTTTTTTTTTGCCTAAATGTAGAACCTTACATTTTTCTGGACTGTTGACTATTCCTGCCAGTTTGGTGTTGTTTGCAAATTTGACGAGTTCCCCATCTGTGCTCTTATCCAAATAATTGATGAAGATGTTGAAGAACACTGGGCCTAAATCAGAGCCTTGGGGTACCCCACTGCATACTTCCCTCCATGTAGAGGCAGTTCTATTGAGAACTACATGCTGAGCGCAGTTGGTCAGCCAGTTATGAGTCCATCTGGTGGTGATGCTGTCTTACCCATATTTTTCTACCTCATCAAGTAGTAGGTTGTGGTCTTCTTTGTCAAATGCATTATATCTCTCTGCCAATGGAATAGGTACTGGTAATGGAATTAATGTATAGTCCTCTCTGCTCTGTAAAATCTTTTGTTCTAAATCTCTTTCTAAAGCTGATTTGGGAAATGATTACTGCAGGAGAAGACTAGGGAAAAAAGGTCTCAGATCAAATAAAAATCTGCTCATGTGATATGGGATAGAAATACACTTCTTAGGTAAGTGCAAACAAAATTGTGAATTTAGGTTAATAAGCAAGAGTGATTGTAATAATGGAAAAGTGGAAGTTTTAGAGATGTTTCAATGAATCATTTTATTGATTGTGATATATCATTGTTTATAATCAATTTATGTAATCTTCTTGAATGAGCTGAGTATATGTTCTGTTGATTTTTTTCTGCTCTTTGAATGATTTTCCCCCCAATTGCATTGATTGCATTAATTCAAAGAGCTTGCTTTTGCATAGCCAAAATCAAATCTTTGGTTTCTTTTTTAAATGTTCCAATTGTAAGCCATTGCTACGTTTTTTCTTTATCCATTTTCCTCTCTATCTTTTGTAGAAATTGACCATGTAATGCTTTTTGTTGCCAGCATTGTTCTTGTTTTTATTACATTATTTCGATATTCATTTTTTGATTCCTGTACTTTTAAAAAGTGCCAATTTTTACCTTGCATCACTACTTGTTCCCAGCTGTCTTTTTCATAATCACCTAACGCATACTTTTCTTTCTTCAGCAGTTGTTTCATTTGAAATAAACCTCTGCCTCCATTTCTGTGAGGCAGGTATAATTATCAATATCATTAAGAGGATTAATGCATAGTAAATATTCATCGGTTTTCTTGTTTATCAGTCCAAGCTGTCCAGTTTAGCTTGTGTCCAGGAAATAAATTCAAGAAATGTATCGAACCACAGGGATGGCCCAGGCTTTGATGGTATTTCTTACCATCTTCTCTTCCATTAGAATATAAACATTGAATTCACTTATCACCTTTTTCCTTGTCCACTCCTACCGTATTTCCAACTGCAGCAAGATATAAAAAAGGATTTGCCCCAACGTTTTGATCTTTCCTTTAGGTGGAATGGCAGTTCCGAGCAGAATGTCTTGCCAGCGTCCCTCCCATCTTCGCCCTTCAAGGGTCATCTATGCTTGTTCTTTCTCTTATCCCATACCCTCAAATACAGTACATGGGAAAACATGGCTGAGGTCTTTTGAAAATAACAACGGCCCCGTCAGGCAGAAACCTAACGATTGATTGATTATTTATTTATTTTTCATTCATTCATTCATTCATTCAAGGATCTCTCTGCCATCTCCGTAAAAGAATAAGCAGGAGGGGCTGCTCGGAGAAAGGAAAGGTGGCCCGTAGCCCCGGCTGACATGTCAACCCCAAAGCAAAGCTGAAACAAGCCGTCGCGAGTTTCTCCCCATCGCACCACCCGCCCCCTCTCCTCCCCCGTACTCATGGCTTCCGATATCCCGCAGCTGGAAACTCCTGAACGACTCCACCAAGATTTCGGCTTCGCCCGGCAGCAAAATCTCTGGCAACAGATCCTCCATGGCGCAGGCCCGACAAGATCAAGGCCGGACGCCGTTGCCGTGGTGACGAACGCGTGCTCCCGAGCTGCTCCTCCCTCTAGCGGCGGCCCCCAGCGTCGAGGCTTCTTGCTTGCCGGCTGGGCTTGGGGAATTACGAGCGCGACCACCAGGGATTTCATAGGCTGGGTTTGCTCCACGTGATAGCCCATAAATCCATAACATAAGACATTTGGGAGGAGGGGGTACTTGGAAAACAATCAATGGACAGCTTAACTGGATTAATACAATACACCGGATTGCAGAATCCAAACTGCTCGCAAATCATTGTTTCCTAATGATTTCATGTTTCTGTCTTTTGACTTCCCTGCTTAACTTAGGCTGGTGTTTCTCAAACTTGGCAACAATAAGATGTATGGATTTCAACTCTCTGAATTCCCCAGTCCGCATGAAATTGCTCAGAATAGCCTAGTGGTAAGGGTCTACATTTAGGCAAGAAAAAACAAATCTCAGATACAGTGTAAGTATAGGTGGTACTTCACTCAACAATAGTAAACTGTGAGAGGGATCTTCAGAGTCCTAGTGGACAGTATGCTGCAGCTGCCAAAAAAAAGCCAACACAGTGCCAGGCTGCATTAACAGAGGGATAGAATCAAGATCACATGTAGTGTTAATACCGCCTTATAATGCCACACTTGGAATACTGCATCCAGTTTTGGTCACCACAATGTAAAAAAGATGTTGAGATTCTAGAAACTGCAGAGAAGAGCAACAAAAATGATCAGGGGACTGGACGCTAAAACATATAAAGAATGGTTGCTGGAATTGTGTATGTCTAGTTTAATGAAAAGAATAAGGTGACCAACTTTTTTACAGTGAAAAGGAGGACACAAATAAATTGAAGAAAAAAATATTGTAAATAAAAGAAATATTTTATTCATTGCAACAATAATAAAGAATACACTATAATATAAATGCATAATAAAAAACATTTGTAACAATAACATTTTATATTGTAATTATGCTTACATGCTACGCCCTCGCCCCCAGCCGCCCCGCCAGCACTGCTGCCCTGCCGTGTAGAGCGGGCCCCGCGGCTCCCAAAGCACCAGCTGTGCTGGCTCCAACCCTGGGGGGCAGCCCACCATCAACACACCCCACCTGCAGCCACCCTGCCAGCACCACCGCCCACCCTGCGCAGCCCCGTGTAGAGCAAGCCCCACAGCTCCCACAGCACAGGGGGCAGCCGGCCACTGCCGCCCCTCACACCCTCACCCACAGCAGCCCTGCCGCCCCTGCCTCTTGTGCCCACAGCCATTATTGCCCTAGCAGGGCCGAAGATCAAGAGAAAGTTACCGTGGCGTCACTGCTCCAGTCTCCTCCGGGTATCTTTGGGACTAACTAGGAGATGGTGTAGTTGGGTAGCAGGGAGGGGTGCAAAGTTCCTGCCAATTCACCTTTGCTGCAGACAACTTACATGTGAAAAGTTTGCTGGCCGGGTGTTTTGGCATGCTCAGCAGCAATTCCTATTGGCTTTCGAAAGCCAATAGGGGGAGTAGCACAGCTCATGCAAAAGTTCAAAAAAAAAACATCAAAAAAGGTGCTGGAATGCCATTCTGAACGTTCTATGAGAAAAAAAAAGCCCTGCAGATTAGTCTTCAAATATCGAAAAGGAGGACATGAAGGAGGACACTTTTTGAGGGAGGACAGTCCTCCCTAAAGGAGGACGGTTGGTCACCTTAGAAAAGAAGGACTAGGGGGTGACATGATAGCAGTGTTCCAATATCTCAGGGCCTGCCACAAAGAAGAGGGAGTCAAGCTATTCTCCAAAGCACCTGAGGGCAGGACAAGAAGCAATGGATGGAAATTAATCAAGAAGAAAAGTAACCTAGAACTAAGAAGAAATTTCCTATCAGAATAATTAACCAGTGGAACAACTTGCATCCAGAAGTTGTGAATGCTCCAACACTGGAAGTTTTTGAGATTGGACAACCATTTGTCTGAAATGGTATAGGGCAGAGGTGTCAAACTCGCAATGTCACGTGGCGTGTTGCGACGTATTACAACCTTTTTTCCATTGCTGACAATGAGGTGGGTGCAGTTTTGCCATGATGCATCTGGCCCGCGGGCCGACAGTTTGACATCCCTGGTATAGGGTTTTCTGCCTAAGCGGGCATTTGGACTAGAAAACCTCCAAGATCCTTCCAACTCTGTCTATTCTATTCTATTCTATTCTATTCTATTCTATTCTATTCTATTCTATTCTATTCTATTCTATTCTATTCTATGGTCCCCATCCATGCCTAGAATTTATTTAGAGTTAGTTTTGTTTTAGCTAAGTAAAGTGGATTACCTACACTTACAAATCTTGCACAACAGCAATAAACCACAGACTACTCAATCACATTCTAATCTGGCACATGATATCAATTTGACCAGAGTACTGACAGCTCATTGGTTACAAACAAGGAGGAACACTAATCTTGATCAGGAACCTCAACAAATAGAATGCTGGCTGGATTTAAGGAAAGCATATGCAAATCCTTCCATGAACTAACTTTGATCTTTTGGAGCTACCGGTATTTACTTGGTACCTAACTTGCCGTACAGAATTGTTATGAACAACAATAAAATGCATGCAAGAGATAAACCTTTAAAGAAGAGATGAAACTATAAATATGAATATAGCTGCAATCAGGACGAAACAGAAATACGTTCAGCTTTCATCTAAAGTAGAAGTTATACATCTTTAATCCCTAAGGTATACAGTAGTTTGTAATTACAAGAATGCTAAAATACCCATTTTATTCTCAAATGCAGTTTTTAAAAATCAGAACACTCCCCTGGTAACCTAAGATTTTTTTCTACCTGATATGACAGTATAGTCAAAAATCTTCCTTTATGTGCTCAACAGATATCTACCCCCAAAACGTAAATCATTACACTGAGTTTTACCAAGTTGGCAGAGAAAAAAAGCACAAAAAGGTCAAACTAAGATACTATTTAGACTCATGTTTTTTCCCTCTTAAGGTTTATGGAGCACCTCTCTAAAATAGAAATTACAGATTCAGAGAATATAGTTTTAAAATAATAATTTCCATCAGCTAAGATGCACTCAGGCAGCAAATCTATGTGGCCACTAAGAGTTGAAATTGATAACACAATGAATCAATCAAGAACAATTTAATAGAATGCAGCAGTAATAGAATGTAAAAAGTTTGTAAACGGTTACAGAACTTTAGGTCAGCTAAGATGTATGGATTTGCCAAATATATAAACTTGCTACTATATTCACAAATAGCATAGGACATAGATATTAACATACTACAAAGAACATTTGCTCAAGTAACACTTTTAATTCCAGTGATGCCTCTGTATCCTCTATGTATGTTTATATATGTGTATGCATGTATATAGAGTATTCTTAGAAAATGAAAATTACAGGGGAGATACAGTCCAGTGCTGTATTTGGAAATGACCCTCCCCCACAAATACAAAAGACATCTAAGTAAATGTGATAAAATGCTTCTGGGAGGTCTTATGGGAGAAATATCCTCAGTGTGGTTTCAAATTAATACTGGTAGTCCTTGCTTATCACTCATTCAGTAGCCACTTGAAGTGGCACTGAAAAAGGAAATTACAACTGGTCCCCAAAGTTGTGGCCATTGCAGCACCCCCATAGTCAATGTGATTTATCAAGCCTGTGACCAATGCACATTTACAACTATTGCAGAGTTCTGCACTCATGTGATCGCCATTTACGACCTTCACAGCCAGTTCCTGACAAGCAAAGTCAATGAGGAAACCAGAAGGAAGTTACACTTGATCATGCTTCATGGCTGCAGCTGGAATTGCTATGATTAATTAGCATGGTCATGTGATGTTTCACTTTACAATCACATTGCTTAGTGACAAGAGTTGTTGGTACCAACTATGGTAGATAAGTGGGGGCCACCTGTATTTGGCACTGTCTACCTTTACTAAAGTAGTCAGTTTGTGCTAGCAATCATTTTATCAAAATTCCACCCATATACCTCAAGTTCTTTTCAGATGCAAAAGCTTTAATTGATTTATAAGAGGAAGATATCAAATAATGAATGAGAGATTCTACACTTTATTTTTACTATGATTAGTTTCCCTTTCAATTGCTGCATTTGCTTTAAATTTCCACAGAAAAATATTCTAGTTTATGTGAGCTTTATAAAATAGAAGAGGCCCATTATTCTTTCTCACAATCAGTAGTTTTGAAAAGTATTCAAAGTAAATAGGTTGAGCCCAATTATATTAAATGTAACTATGCTGCAGGTTTATTTCCACAATTTTACTTCAGTGTTTTACTTCCTAAAAAGAGTAGGCTTGCTTTTTATTAGGATGATTATCCATGATTTATAATCGGCAAGAGTTTTTTTTCAAAACTCTTAAAGAATTTCAAGTGGGTATGATCCCTTTTGTTAAAAAAGAAGGCATATTATGATAGAGAAGTATGTAGTTATTAGTTATGGGGAAAATCCAGGGTGAGACACTAATAAGCAGAATAGATTTTTCTGCCTGCTGAGGAGCAGCAAATTAAGGGGGAGGATTTATTGTACAGCATTCCCTGCTAGACATATTTCCATTTCAGTTCCTTCCAAACTATTTTCAAACTATTTTATCCCTTGCTCAACACCATAGCCTTCTGAAGTTTCTTTATACGCCCGGTGTGTCTTTAACACCCCTTCCCCCAAAAGAAGCATCTCTGCTGATCAAAGAGGATCAAATCCATTAACCCTTTGTTTCAGAAGCTAGTTTAAGCCATGCTGCTTTTCATGAACCAGAAGAGTCCTGGGGCCACCACAATGTCTCATGCAGCCCAATTACAATTAGCGGGGCATAATAATCATCCCATTTCTCGAAGAGTGTCATTTCCAACAAACAATTATATTGGGATCATTCTCTAATCTTTCATCCAATTCCCGATAGCTCATTCCTAGAGAGAAATAAAAAAAATAATGATGAAAGAGCATTAGTATAATTCCACTGCTTAGGCAAAATAAGGAAACTGATTTCTATTTCCCAAGTAATCCGAAGATTGTGCTGGCTTTAGAATTGTTTGCTATACTGTTACCCCTATTTACTTTTAAAAATATTATTTTGTTTCTGCGTTGTTATCTATCAATAAGTTACTATGTGTTGTGAGTAGATGAATACAGGAAATATGATTCCTTACCTGTTTTACAACAAATCTCATCATAGCTATGGCAGCCAGTGTACAATCGAGCTGGATGACTTCTTTCATCCCGAGCTATTTTTACAGGATATTTCTGGAGCCGCCGAATAAGACCCTTCATCAAACCAAACTGGATGAGTTTTCTAAACAAGAGAAGAATATGCTCAGAGAAAGAGGCAGAAATATTTAACAGCAATAGTACTTAGACTTATATACCACTTCATAGTGCTTTATAGCCCTCTCTAAGCAGTTTACAGAATCAGCATATTGCCTTCAACAATCTGAGTCAACCCTTGAGCCACTCAGAATTGAACTGCACTCTAACCACTGTGCCACTACGGCTCTTAAGACACTGTATTGCAGGGGTGTCAAACTGCTGGCCCGCGGGCCAGTTGCATCATGCAGAAGCCATGCCCACCCCAGCTCTGGCAATGCAAAAAGTCACGATATGTCGTAACATATCACATGATGTGGCGAGTTTGACACCCGTGGTGTAGTGCTTCTTTTTTTGCTGTCCATCTAGATAGCTGCTAAAAACAATTTTGAGATCAGCAGGAATATTATATGTATTACTGGTACAGAAACCTATTTTCTAAAACTACAGTTCTTTTGGACTGGTTTTTTTTTCCTGTACTGTATCACAGACTGTTATTAGTCCTTATTCACACATGCATGGAAAACTTTGATATAAATATCAAAAGAGATGTGAGACTACAAGAACCTTTTCCATCAGGCGCTATATTTAATGAGGAGAAATAATCATTTGGAGAGGAAATTGCTCAAAGGACCATTTAAGATCAACCAACAGGCATACAATTATCAAATTTCTACCTGCCACAATTGACAGTGTTTGATGTACATGTTACATGTTTAATAGGCCCTGACACAAACAGATCATGATAATTATTTCTCCTTCCAGACATCCTCAAGTTTCTGATTTTTTTAGAACAAATGAATGCTTTGCCCATTGATACTAAAAGAGAAGTCTGACAATGTACGCAACAAGAATGTTGTTTTTTGTGACTAAGTAATGCTATTGCTACTAATCAAATAACCAGACTCTTCTTACACACAGGTTTACTGAAAAAAACAGGATAGGAAACAAATTAAGAGAAGGGATTTCATATTTTGATTTAGCCCATTATTATGTGATCTGGCAGCTGCAAGAAAGAAAAGATGTGTTTGTTCTGAAAATATATATCCATTTTAAGGAAGCTGAACTGTGGCTGTTTCTACCTATCTAGACAGAGCCCTAGGAATTGTAGTTTGATGAATATGCTCTCTTACAGATCTTAAGCAAAGTTCTTGGCCTTGTAGATGAGACAACAGTGATTAGATTGAAATCAGACACATTTAGCCTTGAATTGCTCTATGTGGCATATAGCTGAGTCATTGGTTTTCTGAAGGGAGGGGAAGCTTCCCTACCTTTCATCCACTCTCTGGAGTTGGAGAGTGTAGCGGCAAATAAGGTCTCGAACAGTCGTCCCAGGGCTCAGTCCACAGTAGAGCTGGAAAACATCTCTCAAACTGGCTCGCTTGTGTCCTATAGAAAATAGTCAGAGAACAAAATTGGGAAAGCTATTTGATGAAGATGATGGCTATCATCAAAATTAAAGAGTAAGAACAGCATTCAAAATTACAGTGTGGATTGCATTTAGAACTAAAAATAACATTGCAAGGCTGGATGCAAATTGATCTATACTGCCAAATATAGGTTATTAAAGTGGGGTCAGTGACAATGCCAGCAATTGTTATGAGATTTTTATTTTGGACTGAAAGTCAGCCAAAAGCAAATGAATTCATTTTATCTACTATAAATTATTCATATGACTACAATCATTGTGAAATGATTGTTTTATGGAAATATATCTTACAATAGCTTAGTAAATAGCTTATATTAATAACCGTTGATTTTACACAATCTCTTGCAAGTATTTTAACAGGAAAAATGTCAGCAGGCTTGATAAGTGTGAGGACAAGGACCAATTTTATAGTAGTTCCTCTGGATGAGGCGGAAAATACACACTTTCCTGAAACTAAGTCCAACTCAACTCATAAGGATGTAGTTTGAACAGATACAAACAGGACTGCACTTTCAGCCATCCATGCTTCTTTACCTGGTTTTGTGACATATGAGAGACATTCATCTTGCAGGCATTTATCATCCACTAGGTCCTGAACTTTAGGAGTTGTGCAATAGACATTTGAGTACTGTGGGAGGGAAAAAAGGAGATTCCAGTCAATAGTGGCAGAGTTGAACCATTTTAGTTACTGCTGGAATTCTCACTAATTACTCATCAAAAGCATTCCAACAGACTGCATAGTAGCATATAATAATATTACATGAATAATGGTATCAAGTAGCAGTATAGAATAGTATGCTAATTACTAGTAATCATTAACAAACTTTTGCTTTTAGGTTACAGAACTTTCCCACTGAGATCACAGAACTTCTGCCACACTACAACCTAAAATCTGGAACTCTAGAATACACAAGCTTTTTTGTGATGAAGGGGCAGATCAATCTGAGCTGTTATTTGGGAGTTCTCTGCTACCATCATCTCCTATGGCTGTGGTGGCGAACCTATGGCATGCTTGCCACAGGTGGCACGCAGAGCCCTCTCTGTGGGCACACGCGCCATCGCCCCAGTCCAGCTGGGTTTTATAAAACCTTTTCAATCAATTTCAACTTCTCTCAGGAAAAAAAAAGATCTCGCAAAGTTGGAATTGATTGATTGAACTTTTTAGTTCCACCCAGTCTGCCATTACCACCGCAGCCACGCCCACCCAATGGGCCACACCCACCCAATGGGCCACGCCCACCCAGCACCCGATGATACAAAAGTGAGTTTTGGGTTGCAGTTTGGGCACTCGGTCTCTAAAAGGTTCGCCATCACTGTCCTATGCAATTTCAGCCTTGCTGGGCTCTTGACAGCAGAACAAAAGCCAGGAGATGTGTTCTTCCCTATCCCTATTCCTCTTAAAAAGCAGTAGGCTCCCTTTCATCTGAAAGTAATTAAATGACACAGACTGAGAGCTGGAACGTCTGGCACATAGAAAAAATAAGGCGTCCCTTTGCCCTTTTCTGATGCTCAAAAGACCTTGGTATAGGTGGAGAATGAGCTCCAAAGTCAGTTTTCTCTTCTAACATCAGCAATATCTCTGTTCCCTGGGAGGGATGGGTTAGAATAGTGAATTCCTACAGCTTCTAAGACACCTTTCTTGGCACCTCAAGATAGTAGCTGAACTCTTAACATTTTTGGCAATTAGCATACATATTCTTTCCATTTACAGTTGAGGTTTTTTTTCCTAAGACATGTACTTTAGATATACTGTTTTCAAATATCAGGGACTTCTCATTTCATTAACATCTATCAGGTTTTTAACCCTGTATGACAACTAGGGTTCTTTTTGTTTAAAATGGGGCTAGATAATCTCAAATTTTCTGTTTTGAGGTTTCACTAAAGCCTAATTGAAAAAGATGCAGGAGCTGAAGAAGACATAGATCAACACTTTTTCCTGTGATAAGGTAACAGAAAATAAATGCATATTTTAGGTATATCCTCTTATTTCTCATCAGATTATTATGAGCGAAAGCAGGAAGGGATTATTGGAGAAACAATTGCTCTATTAGGGTGTGAGTTCTATTCCTTAACACAGGGCTGTCAAACTGCCGGCCCACAAGCCAGATGCGTCATGCCAAAACCGTGCCCACCCCGTTGCTGGCAATAGGAAAAAAGTCACGATACATTGCGACACATCACGTGACGGGTTTGACACCCATGCCTTAACAACTATATTCTTTGATAGATGACCCACATTTACGAAGCACCATTTGATCATGCATAATCATCCAAACATATCAACTTGATATTTTATCATCTCAGTTCATAATATATGTACATTCTACTCACTTGAAGTATTGAAACAAGAGTGACTACATTGTAGTATCTAACAATAAAAAGAAAAACCATTAGAAAGTAACGAACATGGAAAACTATATGCATATTATATGAAAAAGAAAAATACAGGTGAAAGTAATAAATTATAGGGAAACCAGTATCATTGGTGACTGGATATGTCATTTAAATTCAAAGATAATCCCACCTTCCAAATGGATTGACAGAAAATGAAGCATATACAAATACTGTGCAATGGCTAGGTTCCCCAAACTGTTAACCTAGAATTATCAAATCCACTGAGATGGATTGTGGTGGGACAGAAATTGGATCAAGAAGTAAAAAAAATAATTTTAGCAGAAACCAGATTCTTCCATGATCCCATGCATAAATATATGTGTTATGTTTAGGAGCAGATGGGCATATGTAATTATATACTATCTAGAAGTTAATCTTCAAAAAAAGGGCTGGATTGGGAGAGGCCAGAAAGATCTTAATCAAACTGTGTGCTTTTGAATCCATGTTGACTCCTGATAACTGCCTGGACAAATCCCTGCTCTTTACCTAGCAAGATTTCAGAAGTGGGTTGTCATTACTTTCTTTTTAGGGCTGAGAAAAAAAGCCTGGCCCAAGGTCACCTACCTGTCTTTGTTCCTTAGCTGAGACTAGAACTCACAGTCTCCTGGTTTCGAATCTGGCACCTTAACTACTACCAAACTGGCTCAATATTAATCCAAGCAATAACCTCTAACTGAAAATTAATTGTTTATAAAATATTTTATTAAAAAAATTAAATAATTTCCATTTATATAAACCATTCTCATTAATACACAAATGCAGAAATATACAAATATATATACTCCAATATCTGCATGAGCAAACATAGTTCCCTACCTCATTCCAACAGAAAAAAAAGACAAAAAATGAATTAAGATGTTGAAAAGAGAAGGGAACAGAAGGAGAGGATAAACAAGGGAAAACAGTGGACTGCACACCAAAAACAAAAACAAAAGAAAAATCCTATTTCTACTTTACAAAAGTTAAATTCGGGTAAATAGCTGCAGCCGCTCAAAGTATCTCCATCCACGATTTCTGGCCATTTCTGCTTCTTGCTTAACTACTAAATGTCAGATGACACGCCCACTTCCCCAATTTACAGTACATGGAGAAAAGCTCTTAATTAAATGCAGTATCCTATGGAAATGTTATTAGAAAGATGATTAAAGTTGCAGAATTAGGGTAAAGAAAGAGCCTTAGTGTATGATTTTTTTAAAACTATGGTCAAAACAGTATCAAATGAATACAAAAGAAAAATTCTGCAGGCATCAAAAAAAAATCAGAACTTAATGTAAAGAGGATGTTAAAGAGTGGTTGCTGAAATGTTATATGTTACATTATGTTATATCATGTCACAACAATGTAATGTAAAGCACTCTCTTTCCTTTCCTGTAATCAATTCCAGTAACTTTTTCTTTTGTGCACCTAGCACTCACAAAAGGTTTTGGACAGCAATTCGAACCAAATTGAGTTCTACATCTGCTTCAGCTGATATTTTCTGAACATGACGAAACCCATCAATATATGGCAGGATCTAATGTGAGAGAGGATGTATACAATGAATGTAAGGTTAAAGATCCATAAATATAAACAATTTTTTTCCTCATAAGTTAAACCAGAAAGACAAAATAAGATGAGAAAATGATAGTATAAAAGAACATTTGATTTCAGTGGAAGCATGTCCTAAGCCAGGGGTATTAAACTGCCGGCTCACAGGCCACTTGCATCATGCGGAGGCCGTGCCCAACCCAGCTCTGGCAATGCAAAAAAAGTTGTGATACATCGCAACACGTCACGTGACATGGCAAGTTTGACACCCGTGTTTTAAGCCCTTTCACTTATTTATCAAAAGTATGTAGCTGCCCATCTGATGAAATGTAACTGTTGCATGTGAACGATAGTTAACTGGATGGCAGAGGCAAAGTAAGGTCTGATGCCAATACTTTACTAATTGCTTAATTGATCAGAATTATCAATTCTGGTGTGAACATCAGCTTTCCAGGATTTTTTAAAAATTATTTATTTTCTATAGCCACCCATTTCAATCAATGATTCTGGGAAGCTTACAATTAAAAATATATTATTACATTTAAAGCAATAGAGGCATTTTAAAACTCTAAATAAAATACTCTAAAAACATCCAAAATAAATACAGCTGCTGAAATACTTGGGCAATTAATAATAAAGCCAAGAAATTGGACCCTTAGCACATTCAGCACTACAGGCTCAGGAACACAACCTGATGTTTAGAGGTTTTTTTGAAATGCTAACAAGTTTGGAGCCATTCTAATCTCTGAGGAGAGGATTTTCCACAGAGCAGGTGTTACTGCAGAAAAGGTCTATCTTCTGGTGCCCACCAGTCAACACTGTTTGGCTGATGGGATCTGCAGTATGCCCAATCCTCAAGATTGAATGGGAACAGACTCTTGGAAAAAGGCGGTCCCTCAGGTAACCCAGATGCAAGCCATGTAGGGCTTTAAAGGTGACAATTAACACCTTGAATTGAACCTGGAAACACACTGGTAACCAATGTAGCTCATGCATAAGTGGTGCTATATGTACCAAAATCTGGCACCATTTACTACCTGCACCAGCCATTTTCTTTTGTGTAGCGGAAATTGCAGGCTCTTAACAGCTTTTATCAGAATGACAAAAGCAGCATTGAGTCACGAGCCCTAGCCTCCTTGAATGTGCAATGTTATGATGCATACAGAAAGTGAGCAAAGATTGTGCTGCACTGCCATAGTGCTGCTTGCCTCACTTTGACATTTCTCCCCCTTTGACCTATGCAAGCACTTTTGTGCTGAACAGATGAAGATCTTAACAAATGCATAGTTTTAGGGAAGGAATGTGTGCAAATTCATATCTGCATCCACTCACTTCACTTGATTTTAACTCTCATGTGCACACAAATAACATAGATTCAAGTAACTTTCAATTTCAATTAACCTGCTATTGATAACTAAAATACAGGTAGTCTTTGCTTAACAACCGGTCATTTAATGACCAGTTATAATGGATCTCAAAAAATATACTTATGACACATCCTTGAAGTTACTTTTCTGCAATGCAGTCACATGATCACAATTCAGCTGCTTAGAAATTGGTTTGCTTTAAGATCAGCTGCTGTAGCCTGTGGACATGTGACCGTGATTTACAACCTTTTTTGCCACTTATAAAATTCATGGAATCCTGCTACCTCTCTTAAAAACTCCATTCTGATGAATAATATTGAATATACAATTAAATAAATACAGAATTATTAAGACCACAAAACGGCAGTCTGAATCTCAAAGCAAGGAAACATTTAGCTAGAACTCATTTCAATACAGTGGGGACATGCTGAATAAATTCGTACACATTCAAACTTTAATCCCTTTAATCCCTCAGGAGATTAATTCGTGATGGATCTGGTGGAGGAAAATTGCAGGCAAATTCTCCCTCCAATGTTGATATTATCGTGAAATCCATGAATGGGACTATTTCAAGCTAATTTTCTGCACTAACCTGTTGAGTAGTGAGGTCCCATTGAGAATTTAAAAAGTCATCTTTATCTTGGGTGAAGACAGGGACGTCATATTCTTGTACAATTGGGGGATCTGGACGTTGCTCAATCACTTTCAGGTGAATGGTGTTTGATTCATCTATGAAAAGGGGTAATGCTTAACTCACTGCAAGATTATAGTATCACAACAGGCCTGCTGGAATTGAAATACATCGGACAACAATACATCGGACTACTTTATAGCGCATAATTGGATTGGGTGTGCAACTGAAGTGCTCACATTACAACATGATTAAGTTTTAATGTTGAATGTACAGCAATTTTCAAACCAGTGGGTAATCGGATAACCCAAGTGAATAACAGTCCAAATCAATAGGATAGTGTTACAGTATAGCCTACTCACCTTATTGTCTTACAGCATGTTGCACTTAGTACTAGAGAATGTTCAAATTATGCAAAAACCCCAAGGACAATTAGTGTCTTTTCCTTAATCATGTCAATTTATAAGAGCCAAAGTATAGGAAAATAAATTTAATTAATAAATTATATGTATATTTGTAAAGAATAGTAAGAACTTCCTTCAAAGGACCAACATCCAACTTTTTTGGTACTTTGTGGACCCTTGATCTAAACAGTGGTTGTGGCTGAGAACTGTAGGCTGGAGAAGACTGCTTTGGGAAATGACATCTCCCTTCCCATCCAACAAATAAATAGAAACTAAAGTATACTGTATGCTCAAGAACATTGATACAGAATTTCACTTACCACTTTTTCCTGTTGTTGAGCAAAATCATATTCTTATCTACTTTACCTTTTCATATTGAGAGATACAGATATGAAGAAGTCTTTCTAAAAGTGCCGCATGGTCTTATCTGCCCAAGACTTACTAGCCTGAATTTTAATATGCTCTGTTCCAAAATATATTTTGTAACAATATGCTTGGTGAAAATACCAATAGGCAGAGTGCATTTGCCAGTAGCATTCAGTTCTTCAAGTAGGATGGTCATGATGGGTATCAATTTTTGCTTGCTCTCATCATTGGAAATGAAACCACTTTCAAGCTAGGAAAAAATGGAAATAAAGTATAATAAAATATAATAAAAAACCTATACACACATGAGAGCAGAAATGAAGGATACCATAGTTAGGCTATTTCTAACCTCCAGAGTAGTAAGGTAACCTGCCAATTTTTTCACAATCGGTTCCAGTGCACAGGTCTTAGCTCTAGCGTCACAAACAAAGCCAAGGTTGAAGTGCAAGGCATTCCGGGTGTATTTCTTATGTTCAATGCAAACTGGGCAACCAATTAGCTTTTTCTCCATAGCCGTACTGGATTTTTGTGGAGCAGGGGAGAGAAGAGAAAGAGAACAATTATCTTTATAGCACTCAAAATACTGAGTAATTGTATTTCTTCATCAAGTAAGGCTTTTCTTACAGGGCTCCTGCATAATACTCACACTGTGATAAGCTTATTTTGGAGTTCGGGTTTGGTGATGATGTATACTTGCACTGTATCAAACAACTCTCGGGAAATAAAATCCTCTGGTACCTGCAGGAACAAGACAGAACTGCAAATAATTAATAGACAAATGAATTAATAAATAATGATCTTGACTTTTAGGACAACAGCATTTTAATGCTAGGGCAACATGTATTTCAAACTAAGGCAGAAAAACACTTTATTTACCACTGCAAAAATAAAATGCACAATCAGAAATAAAAATAGACAAGCAGAGGCAAAATGAGCTCTGATACACTTTATGAAAGACATCCTGACAAAAGGTGGTCCCCCATGAATGGCAAGTACTATGTTTTCCTTGGTCTTGGTTTCAACTTCAGTCAAAAGTAGTAAAGAGCAAATCTAAAATCTTGGACCACTGATGCCAATCAGAGCAGAAAATAACAAACGAGACAGGTAGCTTTTGCACAACTGACCTGATATGTTATTTTAGGTCCCAGGGTTGGGTGGAATTCACTGAAAAATATACACTCAATTCTGCTGCTGATTTCCATTGTTGTAACTGAAAAAGATGAAATACACAGAAATGAATGGAAAGCTACTTTCGGGGAATTTTTTTGAAGTATCACTCTTATTTTTTTAATCCAATTTCAAGGCTATCTGACTTTCTGATGACTCTGGGTGGTTTACAAATAAAAAAATAAAAAATAAATCGTGGCCAACTGGAAGGACAAATACTCAGCTATAACCAAACAGTAACTAAAGGAGACTCCAAAACCACTCTATCCCAAGGTCCGAAAGAACAACCTGGTTTTAAACAATTTGCTGAACATCATAATAAAAGGGTGGGAGCTGCATGAATCTCTGGGGAGATATTGTTCCAGGCAGTGCGAAAGTTGCCCACCTTCTGGAGTGATTAAATAACCCAGGTCCAATAGTCATCTGGGGCAGAACAATCTAACAGGTTCTGTTAGTGATCTGAGCAATGGACTAATATCAGTGTCCTCCAAAATCAGATTACATCTCATCTGCCCAAGACAATATCCAGACCTAATTATGCACCATGTTCATGATGATTTGGGACAGATCTATGCTTGTCACGGTGGCTCGACATCATTGATATTCTCTGAACTGACATATGCACCAAGCCTGCTGACTCACATCTAAGAAAAGTTTTATGACAAGAATAAACATTCTTAAGGGTACGCAAGAACAAAACTGTATTGAAAGATGGAGAAAGGAGACCATCGAACAAGGCATAACGTTACAGGAGGATATGGCTGAAGAATGCGATCTGCCTTATATTACTTGGAGGACCCTGAATAGGTTGAGGGTTGGAGTGCCTAAGGGTAAGAGCAATATGCTTAAGTGAAAGCTTTTAGCGAAAAACAACATGCTGTCTGAATGCGGAGAAACACAGAGCTGGCCCATCTGCTTGAGTCAGCTAGTACCAAAAGCATATACCAGTAATAACTTATTTTTGCCTAACAACAAAACCAAGAAGGTGACTTCATTCTGGCAGTCTAAAGTTTGATCTAGACATGGAAAAAAGAAGAACATCACCAGCTGGTAAATTGATATCCCAAGAACTTGTAGCCTCAGGGTCTCAGTTACCAGCTTAGTAATGAAATCCAGCAGTTCAGCCATGAGAGATGCTGTACAACATAGAGGGCAGTGCAACAGCAACAATTACATGTGTTCCTGGAAAGCCAACTTCAAATCAGAGAGGGATTCACTTACTGACTCACAATGCTTGCTTAACAAGGGCAGCAGAGTATGCCAGGATTGCCATTGCTAAGCAATGCAGTCACATATTTCACTTTACAACTGCATCACTTAGTGACTGAAATTCTAATCTCAATTGCCACAAAAAGGAGAATGGAGCAGACTCATAGTCACAGCCAGCATCTGTGATGCCACAGGGAACCCTATTGGCCTCAGCCAGCAATTGAAGAACTTGCCCTATTTTTATATGGAACAAATTCCACAAAACTAGGTTAACCCTGAATAACCCCTGCACTGAATATGTAACCTGAGTACTAAGCTTACATTCTGCATAATTTTAGCTTATTACTAGAAGACTAGCACAACTACACTGAATGAATTATTTTACTAGTGTAACTACAATAAATCTGGATGTGAGTTGTCTGTGATTTATATATGATCTTGTACAAACCAGAACTCTGCTGAATTATTCTTGTTCATTCAAGACTAAATGAGTTACAGATCAAGCTGTTAAGATCTGAGTCACCCCTAATCAGAAAGAGCAGAGGGAGTAATCAGTGCATTTTGTGAAATGCAATTCAGAAACTGTTGTTTTGAGCAACGTAGAAGGTAGCCTCCTAGCATTCTTACTCTTTAGTTCCCACTGATAGCATAGGAATACTATAAATGTTGTTGTTAGTTGCAAAGTCATGTTTGACCCATCGCGACCCCATGGACAACATTCCTCCAGGCCAGGGGTGTCAAACTTGCGACCATGTGACGTCACGCAACGTATTGGGCCGATTTTGCCATTGCCGGCAATGGGGTGGGCGCGGCTTCTGGATGACGCATCCGGCCCACAGGCCGGTAGCTTGACACCCCTGTTCAGGCCTTCCTGTCCTCTACCATCTTCTGGAGTCCATTTAAGCTCACGCCTACTGCTTCAATGACTCCATCCAGCCACCTCATTCTATGTCGTCCCCTTCTTCTATTGCCCTCAATCTTTCCCAGCATTAGGCTCTTCTCCAATGAGTCCTTTCTTCTCATTAGGTGGTCAAAATATTTGAGTTTCAACTTCAGCATCTGGCCTTCTAAAGAGCAGTCAGGGTTGATCTCCTCTAGGACTGATTGGTTTGGTCCTTTTAATTTCTTGGCTGCAGTCCCCATCTGCGGTGATCTTGGAGCCCAGGAAGATAAAATCTGTCACTACCTCCATTTCTTCCCCATCTATTTGCCAGGAATTGAGAGAGCCGGATGCCATGATCTTGGTTTTCTTAATGTTGAGTTTCAAGCCAACTTTTGCACTCTCCTTCTTCACCCGCATCAAGAGGCTCTTTAGTTCCTCTTCACTTTCTGCCATTAGAGGGGTATCATCTGCATATCTTAGGTTATTGATATTTCTCCTGGCAATCTTAGTTCCAACTTTTGATTCATCTACTATCTACTGCACAGTATCTAAATACTGTACTATAAAGAGTATCTACAGCAGCCGCTCTATTTCCAAAGACCCATATTTTCCAAAAGAGGGCAGGACAATATCCCATGATAACAGTAGATATATGTCTACCCACTCTATCCATCACGTTGATAATGGCTTTGTACTGTATTTAGCAATCTTTTAAGTTGGCTGAAAACAGGTGCCCTATTTTTCATTAGAACTTCTCTGTTAATCTTCCCATTTACGTATGCACAAATTTCTAAACTACAGTACTTGGAGATTAATCTACCACAGTCCATCAATTTATTCAAAGTTTTTCAGACTTGGCAACTTTAATAAGTGTGGACTTCAACTCCCGGAAATTTAGGGAGTTGAAGTCCATGCATCTTAAACTGCCAAACTGAAAATCACTACTTTAGTTCATTAACTACAAGCCAGTCCGCACTTCTTTAAATATAACCAGTTCCAACAATTCTGGCAGAGAGCATTTGTCTTTTTAAGAGCTGACGGAAAAGACGTAGTGGAAGAAACCTAGAGATCAAACAGTATTCTTGCCTTTAATCAATAATCAAACTGCCTACAGGCCCTATATGAAATTAAAGGGTATTATTGCTCAAGAAAGGCCCATTTAATGCCCAGTCCCCTGAATTAATAGTAAGCGATCGAGACTTGGGTTCACGTAAGCTCCTAAAATCCCCGCCAGATAGTGTGCCTACGGAAGGAAAGCATCGGAAGCCTTCACGCGCTTTCTTCCTCTCTCTCTCTCTCTCTCTCTCTCTCTCAGGTAGCCAAAGACCAGCCCACAGGCTCTGCACCTACCTCCTACGGAAGAGTACGGGCAAAGCACGCATGTGCAAGGCTAACTCCAACCGGGCGAGCAAAAGAGCTTGGGAAAAACAGCGATCTCAGAGCGCGTGCGTCTTGGTGACCCTGAAGAAAAGACCCTTCCTGCAGATTTCCGCGCGCCAACGTGCTCGCCGACCTTGCCCGCTGGTAACAATATTGTTCTAAAGCTAAGGGAAGAATGGTAGGTACCAACGTGCAACGCTTGTCACGTGTCGCGCAGTTAGCTGTATTCGAGAGGGCTTCCCCGGTGATGGACAGCGCGGCTCAGCCTCTCAGACGCAGAGACTAGCCGCCAGGGTAGGAGGAACACATGACAAACTCGGTAGACTTGCCCAATGAAAAGGCATCAGATACTTCCTTGGCTTCCACCAGAGTTGGTGCTCCTTTGCGATGATACTGTTCGCGGCGGTGGTGAGTTGCTTGGACTCCCCCCTCCCCAGGCGGTTGGATGGAGCTGGGAGAGGAATGCTTTTAGAAAAATCCGCGGTGGGCAGATTAGGACAGATCTCCCGAAGGGGATGGGATCTGCCTGGGGTTTCCAAGGCTTGAAATGCCTTTGTGAAACAGCAGCCCGGGAACTCACGCTTATTATCCTGGAAAGAAGAAACCTAGATACAGTCCTTGATTGGTGGAGGCATCTTTCCACATCTCTTGTACTACAGACCTTATCTCCTATGCCAGTTGCAATGCAAGATGTGGGGTGGGCAAAGCTGAGGTAGGGAAGGGCTGCTTTATCCGAGGAGAATGTGTGTCCTGGTGCTGTCAAATCCAGGTTAGGCGGAAGATCGGCACATTCTCTGCCTCTCCCCGAAATGATTCTCGAAACTGTATCATCGTTTTGGACGGAGTCCTGAGAGCTGTGTGTTTCTTTAGATAGGTTAGCTTCTCGTGTTTCCTTCCTTTCTTCCAGCAGCCACCTCCACTTTCGATTGTGCCTGTAAGATACGCGGTGCAAAATCAAAGTGCAGGCTGCCTTCGTCTTCTTTTTCAAAATGCTCAGAGGGAGTCTTGCCTTGCCACTGAAATAAAGAAAAGGAAGGCTATGGCGTCTGTCTCTTTGCCTTAATGCTGTATTACAGAGAACAGAACAGCCTAGGCTAAAAGAGGGTCATTGTCAGAATCCAATCATATTTCATCTTTAATTATCAAATATAGAAACTCCCAATTCTGCCTTCTTTGGATTCTGCCATAAGAGGGAGAGAAGGGGGAGAACAAAGGGGCTTTATGGCCCTCACTTCCTTCAGTAGACTTCAAAGAGCTGAATGCTGAATGTGTGTTTATTGTAACCTATTGTAACCTCAAAGCGTTAGCACCAGAGAACATTAGCATTAACAAAGAAGAGTATTTGCCTTTCATGTAGTTATCTGAAGTCTCCATCCAGACGGAAGAAAGAAGAAACGGGGTGGAATTGTGATACTTGAAACTATCACTGGAAGGGGGGTTGATTGGGTGGGACTACTGGGGAACCCCTTAAAACCTTGAATGGGAGAGCTTGGACCCCAAGTCCTGTCTAGCATGCCTGCAACCATTTTCTCTTAATAAAGGATTCCTGTTGGAAGAATTATTCCAAGAGTTCTGTCTTCTTAAGATGCAAAGTGGGGTGGGTCCTTACATTAGACAGGACTTGCAAAATTAATCCACCTGGAAGGAAGACCCTTGCCGGGGGATTTTGCAAAAATTTACCATGTCAGACAATGGAGCAAGAGAGGGGGAAAACTCCCTGGAAAGAGAGCCGCTGACCCAGTTGGAACCTTGCCAGATGTTGGGATCCGAGAGGCCAGATTCCTCAGGAGAAGAAGTGGTGGAGACACAGGACCACAAGCCTCGCTGGTCGATGGGCGTTGGAAAGAAAAGTGAGTGGGGAAAGGAATCAAGAAAGGTGACCCTGAGACGGGGGACCAAGCAACCAGAATGGAAGCAGGAGATGGAGAAATCCCTGCACGCAAGTGAAGAGGGAGGAAGCTGGGCACCGTACTCAGACTGGATCCTAGAGAAAGCTATTGACCTGATGAAGAGAACTCTCAGCTCCCTAGGAGAGGAGAATACTGAACCCTACGGCCGCCCCAGTTCCTGGAGCCGCAAAGGGAGAGACACCGAGGGGGACATGGAACCTGCAACCCCAGGGACATCTACTGATCCAGGAGCTCCCACCCCCTACCGGACCACAGATGGCAATCTGGACGGAAGGCACTACCACCCACAACAGAGGCACCGATCCATTCCAAGACGTCCACCGTTGGAAGTGAAATTCAAAGGGGAGCCAACACGCTTGGGGTTTTTCCTAACCCAAGTCCTCAGCTACATGGAGGAATATGGGCAGGATATTCCCAGCGACAAAGCCCGCATCCGGATCGTGCAATCTGCCCTGGATGGACCAGCTGCGGATTGGGTAGTGAACTTGCATGACTCCAATGCCCCAGAACTCAGTAACTTCAACCGTTTCATGTCCTCTTTGAGAAGACGATTTGAAGACCCCCTGGCTGATCGCAAAGCCCGTGAAAGAATAACAACGATGAGGCAGGGCAAACGCCCAGTGGCTGAGTATACACAAGAATTTCGGGCCATTGCCAGCAAACTGAATTGGCCAGAAGACATCCTCCTTGGCCATTTCAAAGACGGACTAAACTATGATCTATATGATGCTTGCCTGCCCCGAGGGGACCCACATCGACTTGAGGAATGGTACGTCTTGGCAGAGGAAGCAGAGATCGACATATTGAAGAGGCACCGCCGAGGAAAACAATGGAGCCGCCCCCCGCCTGAGCTGACACACCAACCGGTGAAATCATCGGATACAGCCAAGAAGCAAATGAGATGTTTCAAGTGCGGAAGAGAAGGGCATCGAGCTGTAGAATGCCGCTCAAAGGCCCCCCAGCACAACCCAGACAGATCCCAAATCAACAAACCCGGAAAGTATTCAGCTAAGCCAAAAGAAACGGCCATGAGAATGATGGAAATTGCAGAAACCCCCACCTCTGCTCACCAAGGGGAAAGGACTCCAGCCTACACCATAGGGCCGGTGGATGCCTCAGATGACAGCTCGGAGGGCGAACCCCTGGTAAGTGGATGCATCACACCCATCTTCAAAACAGTGACTATATTAATCCCCCCCATGCCCGAAGCTGTGAAGGTGAAAGCCTTAATAGACTCTGGCTGCACCCGCTGCCTCATTAGCCCAACACTAGTGGGGAATCTGGGCATCCCATCCAGGAGACTGGAACAACCAATCTCATTTGGCCAGCTAGATGGATCCATAGCAGGGGGGGTGCCAGCTACCCTAGCCACTTTGCCAATACATCTCTCCCTGGGCAACCATGAAGAGGACTTAACGTTTGTGGTGACCCCAGGTATGGAATGCCCAATGATTCTAGGGATGGAATGGTTGAAAAAATGGAACCCCTGGGTAAATTGGAGGACGACAGAAATCAAATTCCCGAAGGGGGACCCTATGGACTTAAAACCCCAAGGGAGGCTACCAGAATCAAGAATAGAAAAAGCATCCATAGGAGAGGAAAAAAGATTAACAGAAATACCAGAGGAATATAGGGACCTTGCTGAAGTCTTCAGTGAGGAGAGGGCGAATGAGCTTCCCCCCCACCGACCCACAGACTGTACCATTGAATTCAAGCCTGGGGCAAAACTCCCGAAGCCCAGATTATACTCCATGAGCCCAAAGGAGAAGGAGGAAATGGAAAGATTTATAAAAAAAAACCTGGAGAGAGGTTTCATTGAGCCAGCCAAGCCTAAAGTGGCTGCCCCGGTCCTTTTTAGAGAGAAGAAGGATGGCTCTTTACGTTTATGCGTGGATTATAGGGCCCTGAATACAATCAGTGAAAGCAACCTATACCCGCTGCCCCTCATGAAAGACATGCTGTCACACCTATCGAAAGGGAAAATTTTTTCTAAACTAGACTTAAGGGAAGCTTACTATCGAGTGAGAATCAAGGAAGGGGACGAATGGAAGACTGCATTTAACTGCCCCATGGGGTGCTATCAATTCAAAGTCTTGCCATTTGGATTACAAGGGGGCCCTGCAGTCTTTATGCAACTAATCAATGACGTTCTAAGGGAGCACCTGTTTAAGGGGGTCCTTGTTTACTTGGACGACATTCTTATCTTTACCGAAACAAAAGAAGAACACGTCAAACTTGTCAGAGCGGTTTTAAAGAAGCTGCGAGCCGCTCACCTATATGCCAAACTCTCAAAATGCGAATTCCACCAGGAAAGGATAGACTACCTAGGCTATCGCATATCCCCACAGGGCATTGAAATGGACCCAGAGAAGGTCAGAGCAGTATTAGAATGGGCACCACCCCGCACAAGAAAGCAACTACAAAGTTTCCTGGGCTTTGCAAATTTTTACCGCCAATTCATCCCCTCATTTGCACAGATAGCCTTGCCCCTCACTAACTTACTAAAAACGAAGGGAACATCCTCAGTAAAACCTAGCCAGCCACTAACATGGACAATGGAGTGCCAAGCAGCGTTTGAGAGACTAAAGAGACTTTTTTCTGCCGAACCAGTACTAAGGCACCCAGACATGGACAAACCCTTCATAATACAGGCAGATGCAAGTGATGTGGCAGTGGGGGCTGTGCTATTACAAGAAAATGATGATGCAGTATTGCAACCCTGTGCATATACATCTAAGAAACTCACGGAAACAGAACAGCGCTGGCCCGTATGGGAGAAGGAGGCTTATGGGATACGTTGGGCATTACTCACGTGGCGACAGTTCCTGGAAGGCAACAAAATCCCCTTCCAGGTATGGACTGATCACAAAAATTTAGAAGCCCTGAAAACTTCCAGGAAACTCAACCCCAAACAAGCCCGCTGGTCCCAGCATTTTCACCAATTCCAATTTAAGCTCAAACATTTACCAGGAAGAAAGAACTTCCTGGCAGATGCACTATCTCGCATGCCCCAATATAACAGCGCACGAACCACAGACTCTAGACCAATAATGGCAGAGTCACAACTGGCAGCGCCAGTAACCACAAGAACCCAAGCCAAAATAAAACCACAACTGGACAGCCAAACTGGGATTGAATTCAGAAAAAGTTTGGAAACAGATGATTGGTTCCAGAAAAACAAACATGTGTGCACAATGAGAGACGGATTGCCTTGGGTAGGGGAAAAGTTATATATACCAACAACTCAAAGACTA